AAAAAGTGGAAAAAAAAAAAAAAAAAAAAAAAAAAAAACTAATCTTTACGAGTTTTCCGTTCCATAGAAGATGCAGAGAGAGGCAACACAGCAGGTGCCATCGTCACCACTTTCTTCGCCTTAAATAACCATTGTCTCTTCCATTTTTTTCTGCACTTTCTCTCTCTTACCACTCTCTCTCTCTCTCTCTCTCTTCATCTTCATCCATCTCCTTCCTCTTCTTCTTCATAATTCCTTCATACCCCTCCCCGCCCTGTACTTCACCACCTCTCTAAATTTTCAATTCATTTGAACTCTGATTCGAACAAAGCTGGTGAGAGATACTCCTTTGCACCAATTTAGCAATAATTGTCTCACTTTCTTCCTTTATTGTTGTCTTTTTGGCTTTCCCTTTTATCTCATCATCGCCGGAGTTGAAACAGTTCAGAGATCTCAGGTATTGGAATGAATTTATTTCCCCCTTCCTTTTCTCCATTATTTTCATTTCGGTTTTGGATCTCTTCCTAATTTAGTACTCTTCTTCTGTTGATTTACTGTTCTTCTTGTTGTTTTTTTCTTTGTTTTTGATGATGATTTTTATTGTTTCTTCTTGTTTTGGAAATCATTTCGAATTGGAAACGGATTGGAGCTTTGGTTTTATGTGTTCTTGTGATGTGGTCTTTATGTTTGTTTGGAGCGCTTTTGGAATACATCTGAAAGTTCTATTTCCTTCACCCTTTCTATTTGGTGTGTTTGTGTGTGTGTGTGCGTTTTGATGGCCTCTTCAGTTTGGGATATCGCTGTTTGTCTCCTTTTGAAGGCATCTATTACTTTTTATGGAACGTAATACAATTTTGAGTCGTTGGTTGTGTAAAGGTATCTATAATTTTGAAATAAATGAAAATTCATAAACTGTGCTCTTGAGGCTACTTGAAAGCTTTTTTTTACCTTCCTCTATCAACCATGGATCTTCACGTGGGGATTTCACAGAGCACATATTGATTCTTCTTAGAGCACATGCAATGTGTTCTTGAGGCGTATTATTCTATTTGAATCCGGAGGATTTATTGACACCACTAAGTTTGGGACGTGTCTCGGGTTGACTGGTGCCAGTTGCTAGGACAAAGGACCGTTACATGTTTTCACTACGGTATGTTATTGTCCATATGAGTAGATGAATTTGATTTTAGTTTCGCTGAAAACACCTCATCTAGTGGAGATGTTGTCGCCCTACTTATTTACTCATGATATTCCATTCCCTATGTCTTGCCCATTTGAGACTGGTGCGTTTTCAACGAGCCTCGAATAGTCATTGACCCGTCTATCTCTTATTGATACCATTTTTTTTCCCAGAGCATACTGCATAGATCTCCACTTGACTATGTTATTGACCTCACCACCTCTTCCTTGACGCTTGAGGATTCTACAAATATGATTAAGTTTAGGGCATGACTTGATATAATTTAATAGGACTTCCGATACTAGACCTCTCCACATTTTAAAATGGTATGATATTGTCCACTTTAAGCGAAGCAGTCATGCCTTACTTTTGGATTCACCTAAAAGCCCTCACATAAATGTAGATCTTGTCCCTCACTTATATTCCCACGATATTCCCTTTGATTAGCCAACGTAGGTCTTTGGTTGCATTCCTAACCCTGGAGAGATTGAATTGAGTTTTCTAGCCTGTGACATAGAGAAAAGGACACAAATTTCACTTGCACAACTTTTTTTAAACTACTGCAATTTTCACTGATGAAGAGTGATGCATTAGCTTATTAGATGGGGTAGTGGTCAATTAACGAGACCATAGATGTGTAGCATGCATACGCTGCATCCTTTTAGTTGCTTTTGTAGACATCCATTTTAGCTTATTAGCTTAGAAGCACGGATTTAGATACGAGACATAGACAAGTTGACACTGACCTTTTTTAAAATCTAGGACACACACGAAAATGCCTTAAAATAGAATTTTTTGTATTTTACCTTCAAATTTTATTAATTTTGACCTATACTATCATGTATTTATTTCGCAAGTGTTTGATATGTGTCTAAAAATTGTTGGGATCCATATTGACTTTGTACAATTAGGATCTGACATATGTCTATTGTGCCAATAAGTGTCTGATACATTCCAACAAGTGTCGGAGTGTTCAAGTGTCGGATCTGGACACATTAGTCAAACTAAAGTGTATATGCTTCTTAGCTTATTAGGTATTGTTCGCTTATGATATTTTTAAAGAATATTGGTCTTATGTCTTATTTTTGGGGTTATTATTCAACTCCTGAAGCGAGTTCTTTGTAACTTTTCACTTCTTTAACGAACAATTATCTTTCTTATGGAAAAAAAGTTTCGTGAACAGCGGCACAGAGTAACTTGAATGTTTCTGTGGACTCTATGACATTAGTATAATTCAGCTGCTGTCCAGTACAGTTGCCTTATAGTCAAATAAGTTTATATACATGCATTCTAAGGAGAAAAATTTGCACACTGCACTGTGGAAAAGATTATTCAAATCCAAGGGATCTTTTTACTGTGTAACATATTAGCAAAGGAAAATGGCACTTTCTCTCCGTTTGTTTGACGGGCAACTTTGCTCTGTTTAGTTATTTTTTGTCTAGTCAGAAATATGGTATTTTGCCGTGTTCCACAGCCAAATTGTGGGAGGCATCCATGTATCAACTGTTTTATTTATTTATTTTTATCTTTTCTGAAGTTTTGAATGCTTAAAAGATTGCAATTGTATTTGGATTTTTGTAACTTCCCATTCTCTATTTTATTGTTCCCTAGTTACGACCAAAGGTACCCTGTTGTGAAATCTGATTTATAGATTATCCAAGTAATGAATGAAAGAATTTATAATTTGCCAAGATGGAAGTAAAATGATGCAGGTTTTACAGTGATTTCAATTACAATTCATTGATTAAGTTCTAATTCTTAGTTTTTGCTAATAATTTATCCCTAGTCCCTGACTACTTTCTCTCATGCAGGGTTTTGTAGCATTCTTGGGTGATAGATAAAGGCGTTCGAGAGCCTATCATTAAAACTTCGTTACGATACCCAGTTATACGAAAGGAACTAAACATGTCTGTTCCAGCAAAAGTTTTTGATCCTGCTTTTCAAGGAGTAGGGCAGAGAGCGTATCCTTTGTTCTACTAGCATTGAGCATTATTTCTCCTTTCTTCTTTTTTTCTTTTTTGGATAAGAGAATTTACATTCACTGTATATCTAACAAATTAAAATCGTGTTGTTCATTTTCATTTTTATTTTATTTATACTTGCTTGTTTTTTTTTTTTTTTTTTTTTTTTTTTTTTTGTCAATATTGAACATGCTGATTCTAATTTTACTTGTTGAGCTTAACATCTTTTAGTGGGACTGAAATTTGGCGAATTGAGAATTTTCAGCCTGTTCCATTGCCGAAGTCAGATATTGGAAAATTCTATATGGGGGATAGCTACATAGTTTTGCAGGTTGCTTTCAACTTTCTATTATTAGTACTACTCTAGTGTCTATTTGAAACGTCTTAGATTATTTTTCGTTATCATATGAGTAAAAAGATAACTATGGTTATATAAACCGTGGCAGTGCTTCCCATTTTGAAGTTTTAATTGATGTAAGCTTTGTGGGATGTTTGAAGCAGCTAGATAGAAGTCCAAGTTCTTAGATTATTTTTCTTCTTTGGTTGTCTTATTCTTTTTTCTTCTTTGAGAAAGAATGAGTCGCTCATGCCAAGAGCTAACAGATAAACTGTATAAATGGGAGGTGGCTTTGAAGAAAATGCTTGTGCAATCACTTTGTGAAAATGGTCTCTTTCATGTACTGTATTTTGATAAATATTTCCTATTGCAGACAACACAAAGCAAAAGTGGTTCTTTCTTGTTCGACATACATTTCTGGATTGGAAGGGATACAAGTCAGGTGTTCTTTCTTATCTTGTACCCTGCTCTTTCTTACCTCAGTGACTCTCCTCGATTTATAGAAATTTTCTCAGATCATGGCTAGTGTACTGCAGATGTTACATGCTCAATTAGGCTATCCAAGACTGTTTACTTACATTAATTTTTTAACAATCCCTGGTGAAACCTTGAGAGTCACTCACCAATATTTGTTGGAAATTGGAACATCCACAACATTAGAGCTTGGATCTAAAAATTGTATACAAAATTTTCTTTAATTTTTTGAGAGTTTTAGAAATCACTGTTGTAATACTCAAAGTTAGTAATTATGATTTTTTCCATGATTGCCAATTGGGCACCCTTTTTCTGCTCACTTGGCCTCTGCGAGTGCTTGGATCTAAAAGAAATTAAAAGATATTTTTCTTTTATTTTGTGAGAAATTAAAGAATGACAGTTGCAATGCTCAAGATCTACGGTTATGAACTTTTTTCCATGAATACCGTATTGGACGCCACTTTTATGCTCATTTGGCCTCAGCGGGTGCCTTGACCCCCCTTGAATGAAGTTTTTATTATCATTGAAAAATAAAATAACTCAATCTTTGTTAATGTGTTTTCAGGGGACCACAATTGAATCCCCGCGAGACCTTACTTTTCATTTTCATTTCTTTTTTTCTTTTAAAGGATTAATTCCTAAATTTCTGGACCTTTTGACCTAGGACGAATCTGGGACTGCTGCAATAAAGTCCGTAGAGTTAGATGCAGCTCTTGGAGGACGTGCAGTGCAGCATAGAGAGCTTCAAGGCCATGAATCTGACAAATTTTTATCATACTTCAAACCTTGTATCCTTCCACTTGAAGGAGGTGTTGCATCTGGATTTAAAAAAGTCGAGGAAGAAGAATTTGAAACACGGTTATATACCTGCAAAGGAAAACGAGTTGTTAGAATGAAACAGGCACGTGATTCTTTTCATATGAACTCCCATATATTTGGAATTCATTTAATTTGATTTTTCTAGGATCAAAATTTACATTTTGATAATGCAGGTTCCTTTTGCTCGGTCTACTCTGAATCATGATGATGTCTTCATCCTAGACACTGAAAAAAAGATATATCAATTCAATGGTGCTAATTCCAATATTCAAGAAAGAGCCAAGGCTTTGGAGGTGGTTCAATTTTTGAAGGAAAAGTATCACAATGGAGTCTGTGATGTTGCGGTAGTGGGTATGCAGAAATGCTTCTAGTCTTTCACTCTGCTACCTGTTCCCCTATCTTTCCCCCCTTAATAAGAAACACAACTTCTTCGAAAGTAAAGGAGTGACCAGAGAAATTAAGAAAAAAAAGAAAGATCGAAGGAGTAATAGTTGGCAGAAAGGAATTTAGTACTTCACATGGCTAATTAATCTATCACTAGTTTCCTTAAGTTCCTCACTTATTGCTGTTAGTTACTCCTAGTCTCTTAATCGTGTAATTTTGTTTGCTGCTTCAGATGATGGGAAGTTAGATACAGAGTCAGACTCAGGGGAGTTCTGGGTCCTCTTTGGTGGTTTTGCACCTATTGGGAAGAAGGTTAGCACTGATGATGACGTGATTGCGGAAGCCACGCCTGCTAAACTTTATAGGTATCTGTCTATTTATCACCCTCACCAAACGCGAATGAGAAATTTAAATAGGTATTCAAATCTACAAATTCTTAGAGGAGGTAAAGAAGCCATAACTGCTGAGTTAAACTCATATTGACAATAAGTGGTCTTGCTTTTCTTAAGTTAACAGAACCAGCTTGTTAAATATATTGCTATTTTTCTTCCAGACAAAACAATATTGAATTATAACAGTTTTTGTGAGAATCTCATATGCTTTTCTAGATTAATGTTCAATTTAATTTAAGGATGTCTTACTCGCTTTTTCATTGGTATGATGTTGGAAACCTTGATGCTTGACACATAATGCTACAGGATTATTTTTTCCCTTCTTCAGAAACAAACTCAAGTTTTTTTTTTTTTTTTTTTTTTTTTTTTTTTTTTTTTTTTTTTTTTTTTTTTTTTNGATGCATGCAGCATAGCTGGTGGCGAAGTGGAGATCATTGAAGGTGAACTATCCAAATCATTGTTAGAAAACAACAAATGCTATCTACTGGACTGTGGTTCTCAGGTATTTGTTTGGGTTGGACGGATAACCCAAGTGGAGGAAAGAAAAACGGCCATTCAAGTCGCTGAGGTAATAGAGTGGCAATGTAGGACCCAAGATAGTATGTTCCACTAAATTTGGATCTAAATGTATCTGTTCGTCCCTACCTGTACTTTTCTAGGAATTCCTTGCTAAACAAAATAGGCCAAAATCAACACAAATAACGCGGCTTATTCAAGGTTATGAGACGCATTCTTTCAAATCCAACTTTGGTTCCTGGCCAGCAGGATCTGCTGCTTCCGGAGCTGAGGAAGGAAGAGGAAAGGTAGCAGGTAGGTGTCATCTGTGACTTAAAAGTAGACTTAAAGTACTTTCTGCTCAATTTATTCATTTTGATATTCAAATTTCTGCCAGCTTTATTGAAGCAACAAGGTGTTGGTATTAAGGGGATGTCAAAAAGTACACAAGTAAATGAGGAAGTACCTCCGTTGCTGGAGGGAGGTGGAAAAATGGAGGTTTAGTCAAAAAATTATTTTTTTATGTTAATTTTGAAGATAACTTTATGAATTTGATAGCTACATATTTGTTTTGTGCTAAGATATTGGACATTGTTCGTTTTGCAGGTATGGTGCATCAATGAGAACACGAAGACTCTAGTGCCCTCAGAGGGCGTTGGCAAATTTTATAGTGGAGACTGTTATATTATTCTTTACACTTACCATTCTGGAGAGAGGAAGGAAGATTACCTTTTGTGTACTTGGTATGGAAAGGATAGCGTCGAGGTAAGTTAAAAATATCTTGCTTCGGGTGTTTAATGGAATTCCACAACTAGGAGTTGTACATTTGAAACGACAAGAAATAGATCAATACATTTTCAGGGATGTCTTATACGACTGTTGACTAATTCATTATATTTTGCTGTTGCCAGAGCTAGGCACGACTCGAATAGCAGTTCATAATAATTGGCATTAGAACAAAAATGAAGTGTTTTTTATTTTCTTATAGATATCATAATTTCTTAAGAAGGGTCCTAAAGGATTTGATTTAGAGTGTGTTTGGCTCAACATCCTAAGTGATTTAAGATGACTATGAGTGTCTTTTTTAAAACTTCAATTTGCAACTTTTGGTAATAAAACAAGATTGTTTTTTTTTTTTTTTAAATAAAAAGAAATAATGTGTGATGATTCTCCGACCAGTGATTCTAAAATGATTACCTAGGAGTCACTTTAAAATATGACAATATTTGAGATAATTATTTCTGGATGGAGTGCAATCAAACAAGTTTGTGGTTAGAAAAAAAAAAACCGAGCTTTCATTGAGCAAAGTGAAGGAAAATACAGGGCATATAAAATCAGCCCCACAAAAGGAGTCCAAACCTTAGATATAGAAATGGGCTCCAATCTATAAGACTATGTTGGTCATTACCACAAGAATAAGACTCTGGTCACGCTTTTGTTTCCTTTGCCCCCACCAAAAAATATGTTGGGCTGTATACTTGTCATTATCTCATACATTGTCCAATGTCAGGAGGACCAGGCGGCAGCTGCTCGGCTTGCAAGTTCAATGTCAAACTCGCTTAAGGGGAAACCAGTTTGGGTATTATACTCTATATTAGTAGATCAAGATTATGTCATCATCATTATTCTTTGACACGTTATATTGGTATGTGTGTAGGTTCGCATTTTTCAGGGTAAAGAACCACCACAGTTTGTTGCACTTTTCCAGCCTATGGTGGTGCTTAAGGTATTGTAGCTTGTGCAAATATTTATTAACAAAATCATGCTTTGCGAGTTATGGTTTCTAGCATAAAAACTGGCGCTTCTCCTTTTTAACTGAGTACTCTTTCTATAGGGTGGTCTGAGTGCCGGTTACAAGAAATTTATAGCAGACAAAAAATTGGTGGATGGAACATATAGTGCAGAAAGTGTTGCTCTCATCAAGATTTCTGGAACTTCTATTCACAACAATATGGCAGTGCAAGTCGATGCTGTATGTGCAGAATACACCTCTTTCATTTCTGTTTGTTTGTGGCTGTCTACATTTTATGGATATTATCTTTTTTAATGCCTTTATCTTATATAAGTTGGATTGATGCATATTTTCTTTCTATGTATACCATTCAACCACAGTAGAGAAAGAGGAAATGGGAAGTATCTTATAGCAACTTTCAGATATGGAAAATGTTTCTGGCCATAAAAAAGGGTGCAACCTCGTCTCCTTTTAGATTGGACTCTTCTATTGAACCAGACAATAAATTATTGTTTGGTTCTAGAAAATTTTATCCGCACAAAGTTATTTCCTTGTTCTAAGAAATGCTTAAACATTATTTTCCCGGAGCTTTATGCATAGAGTGATCTGCGGGAGCACATACCCTTATGGGGGCGTTTAGAAGAATGCACAACCATGCTTACACCTCGCAGACGGTTTCTTTGGGCTTAGAATTTTTGTTACATTGAACGTTCTGGAAGTTTAGTATCCCTATAATCATTAGGCTTATTTGTGATCAAGCACTTATTTGAGACCAATAACTTCTGCATCTCTTTCACTCAGTACTTTGGCTTTTAGGTTGAATAAATAAGCTCTAAATCTTGAAGATTGATCGCTAATCTTTTATCCAATCTGCTTTGTATAGCTGTGTTGACTTGAACAAATCTAGTCATTGTAGAAATTTCATAACCATTTTTTTTATATTTGGAATCGGATGCAATTCTTAATTGGTATAAATGATTCTACTTCTATAGTTATAACTCATCCTTCATGTTACTTCAGGAACAATTTCATAAGCTTTGTTCTTGATCAGGTGGCAACATCATTGGACTCCAGCCATTCTTTTCTCCTGCAAACTGGATCTTCCGTGTTTACTTGGCATGGAAATCAATGTGCCTTTGAACTGCAGCAATCAGCTGCAAAAGTTGCTGAATTCTTAAAGGTTGCACCACAGTATTTCCGTTTACCTTTTTTAGTATCAAATATATCTGATTTTTGTTGAACATATACCACAACACTAACTTCATGTCAAGTGAGGAGCATGGAGAGTAACGTTTATAGGGTTCGTTAGGCTTGTTTTTAAAGGATATTTACTTGTGAAAGATGCAGACTAATATGGAATGACTTCTTTTTTGAAACTAACATTTAAAGTATAATGGGAATATCTACGAATTTTACAGGTTTCTTTTTTACAATCATGCTTTACAGGCATTCTTTCAGACATGTGTACTGTACACATGGCTATTTACTAACAGCAGTATGTTCCTATTTATGATATAGCCGGGAGGTCCTTTGAAACATGCTAAAGAAGGAACAGAAAGTTCTATTTTCTGGTCTGCTCTTGGGGGAAAGCAAAATTATACCAGCAAAAAAGCAGCTCCAGATGTTGTCAGAGACCCTCACCTATACACAATTTCATCAAATAAAGGTGGCATCTCTGTACATTTATTCTGAATCAATAATTTCTCTCTTCATGGCAATATATTTTTCTCTACCTTATCTAATTATTCGTAATATTGATACCCCTATTTCCTTCGACTAATCATTGTGGCCATCCTCTTACTTGGATATTTCAGGAAGACTGAAGGTGAGTTTTGGACCTTCTCTGTTCATTATTTTGGATGGTTTATTAAACCTATATAGTTATTATTATTACTTATTTTATTCAGGTAGAGGAGATTTTCAACTTTTCTCAAGATGATCTCTTGACAGAGGATATCTTGATTCTTGATACACATGCCGAAGTGTTCGTATGGGTTGGTCAGTTGGTTGACACCAAAGAAAAGCAAGCTGCCTTTGAAATTGGGCAGGTACTCTTTATTTTAGGATATCTCAAAATTCTCTTTTACCATCGTTATTTGATGAACGGCTTTTGCAGAGTTACATAGAATTGGCTGCTTCTCTGGAGGGTTTGTCTCCAAAAGTACCACTATACAAAGTCACTGAGGGGAACGAACCAAGCTTCTTCACAACATACTTCTCATCGTGGGATAATTCTAAAGCTTTAGTAAGTGCTAGTTTGTGGCATTTTCCTTTCTTAATGTCATACTTTTTCTCCATTCATCTTATATTTCGTTAAAAAATTTCTTTGATTGCAAACATGGTTACAGTTCTCTTGCCACTTTATTTTCTTCATCTGCACTTTTCATGGGGAAAAAAAAATTCTCTGGCTTGATATTGTTAAGTGAAAATTGAAATGTGAATAAGTATATTCTAGAAAGGAAAATTTGACTTTGAGAAAATCTATGATAATATGGATCTGAACCTCATGGATAGAGTTTTGGGGAAGAAGGGTTTTAGGGTCGAGTGAAGAACTTGGATGTGGAACTCTATTAAATTTGCAAATCTCTCTATTTTTGTCAACGGGATACGTAGAGGCAAGATTTTTGCTACGGTGTTCATTAGGCCGAGGTGTTCTGTTACTGTCTTTCCCTTTTCTCTTAGTCATGGACGTCCTCAATAGGTTGGTGTCGACAGGAGTGGATAAGAGTGTCACTGAAGGCTTAAGGTGGGTAAGGACTTGGTTCACTTGGCTCACCTTCAGTTTGCTGACGATATTCTCCTCTTTTGTTTAGGATAGGAGAGCTTTTTTGTTGTTCTCTACAGATTTTTGTACTTTCAGGATGACCTTTTTGGTTCTAAAGATTAACAAGGGAAAGAGCCATTTCTTATCCATGTTTAAGATCCCTATTCTATAACTTGCTTCAACTTTAGTGCTTTGCATTGATAATTTATCTCATTTATCTATGGTTTTTTTCTTTTTCTTTCCATTGTTTGGAGAATTTTAGTCCAACTTGTTGAATTATCTTCACCAAATGTAGGCTCAGGGTAACTCGTTCCAGAAGAAGGTTTCTCTGTTGTTTGGAATTGGCAATGCTGCAGAGGTAAACGCCCAACTTTGTCTGTGAATTTTATTTTATTTCGGGCAATTATGGTTTTGCCACTCGTTTTCCATTTGATATCGATGAATATATTGCTACTGCAGGATAAAGCTAACGCATCAGGCGACGGACCAAGGCAAAGAAGTGAAGCTTTAGCTGCTTTAAACTCTGCATTTAGTTCATCCTCTGGCCCGAAAAATGTTTCTACAAGACCATCCAGCAGAGGTCAAGGAGGAGGGTCGCAAAGGGCAGCTGCTGTAGCTGCACTTTCTTCTGTTCTTACTGCAGAAAAGAAGCCAGGTGATTCTCCTACTGCACATGGTCGCAGTCCACAATCAGAAGATCAATTCTCGGGTAAGAGAGCCACGCTGGAGTTTCTAAATATCAGTGTTTTAATTGAAGGTTTAAATTCTTTGCAGTTAAATTTATACACTCATAGCTGAGTTGGTCTGAATTCTAGTTCAAATTTATATGATAGGTGGTTAAGTACTTCTGGAAAGTTTCTAATATTCATATATCATTGTAAATCATAGTACTTCTAGTATTTGATGCTGTGAAACATACCTGTACATTGCCTCGACTTTTATTGGCAGGGAAAGGAGGCGATGAAAATTTCGAAGACAAGGACACAGGGAACTCTTCCCCTTCATTTGAAAACAATGGGGGGGATTCGACCTCTCAGGATGATTATGCTGAAACTGCTGTTCATAGTACATTCAGTTATGATCAATTAAAATCTAAGTCTGAGAATCCGGTGACAGGAATCGACTTCAAACGAAGAGAGGTCGGTGTGATGGAGACTTCCCTCTAAACTTTTCCTGATATATTATGGGTGTTAATGGTTCATTCAATGTTCTCAGGCCTATCTTTCCGAGGAAGAGTTCGAGACGATATTTGGCATGTCGAAGCAAGCGTTCTATAAACTGCCTAAATGGAAGCAAGACATTGCGAAGAAGAAGGCTGATCTGTTTTAGAAAGCTAATTTATTGGGCAAGTAATGTTTGCTGCTTGTGGTGTCTTCCAGTTGGTCGTTTGGGTTTCATGGCTGGTTTGCATTTTTGGTATTGATTGTGATGCAGCCTGAAGATGAGTGTTTTTTTGTTTTCCTTTTTGTTTTTGTTCGTTGAAGAACTACTCCATTGTTATAGTTTCCCTCCCTGCAAGTGCGTGGTGTCTTGCCTTTGAGACAAGCCTGGCAGTTCAATTCTTTTATTGTTGGTACGCATTAATTATGTATTGTTTTTGAGTTTGTTTGGGGTTTCAGATCTTTTGTATGGCAGAAGAAATGAAATGGTGTATATGCAAATGTATATGGATTTGTGGACTATTTGGTTGGCTCTATAATTTTGGTTTGAAGAAGGATCTGGCACACTGAAATGGAAAATTTTGGTGGTCACTATGGTTACTGCTACCACTCATGCCCGAGATTCTGAATCTGGGGCGTGGCTCATTACAAATGGCATCTGAGTGGTACCTCTTTCATTTAGATATGATTTGGGGATGAGTACATATGAATTAATTGAGACCACGTTTTGATGAGAACAATCTTAAAGATAGAATGACTAAAAAATACTTTAAAAAAATCAAAGTTACTATCCATATCAATAAGGTTCATCTTCCTTTTCAATACTTCAATCATAGGACTTTTGAAGTTAAATGCATTTCGATGCAATTTTATGTTGGGTGACCTCCTGAAAAAGGGTATGTGGAGATAGTTTTCATTTTTAGAAACGAGACGTAATGTGACCATGTTGTAGGGAAATGCTAGCCATAATTGACATGTATTCATTTTTTCGAGATTAGTAGTTTCAAATTCTTGTACTCCACATTTATCGCACTAAAACACTTTGAAAATCGATAAAACCGTGAGAAATATGGAAAGATGGAAAGATGGAAGGTTTATAAGAATACCTAATTTTACTCCATTAGCCTTTTGCTTATGATTCTTTTTTAGAAAAGAGTACCTTTCTTAGGGCCCCTTGCCCCTTGTAGACTATGCTTCATTGCTATGCTCTCAATGTCTATCCATCAATAATTAATTGTTTTTTTTTTCTTCAATTATATTTAAATTATTATTTTCTTAATTTTCCTATTTTATAATCACCCTACTTCATCAATCTTGAATTAATAACTATTTTTTTTACGAATAAATAATAAAGTGACTTTTTAGCACTTTTTTTTTTTTTTTTGTAATATTATGTTTTAATTGATAAATTTTGTGACCTTATTTTATTTTATTAGAAAAAAAATAAAAGGGTATTTTTGTAATTTGACGGAAGAGAGTACTACAGTAGCTTTCATTTAGTCGTCATCAGTGGGGCTGTCAGCCACAAACAATTATCCGAACACTTAACCACTAAAGATATGATTTATAATTTTTGTCTCTTTTCTATTGTTATTATTATTTTATTTATAATCATTGATTATGAACTTGGTTCCTTGATTATTTTTAAATCATATTTTATAAGTTAAATTAAATTAACCATATTTATTAATGACGTACTCTCTAAATTTAAAAGGTAAAATGATCTCAACAGCAACCAAAATTTTAATAGGATTATTAAAATTTATACCATAAAAAAAAATTGAGTTGGATTAGATTTTGTTCTAGATTAGGTTAAATGATTGAAAAATTAAAAAATTTGAGTCGGTTCGTTGGTTGTTTATCGAGTCAACTCGACCAACTCGAAAATAGAGATACAATCCAACCTAACCTATCATATTTTTAAAATTATTATAAAGATTACGAATATTTGATGTTTGTAATCGATGTTACTGATGTGTTGTGGCGAGAAAATGTTATATATTGAGTTTTATTATGAGATTCAGTTATTGATGAAATATATATATATATCTTATTATTATTATTATTAATTTTTTTTATAAAAAAAACAACCCGACAGCCCAACTCGAAAATAAAGGATTGGAGTTGGATTGGATTGTGAACGTGTTGCTCAAGTCACCAACTCAATTACTTCGAAATTTTGGGTTCGGCTAAAAAATTTCACAAACTCAATCCACGTATATCCCTTTGTACGTGTATATATATATATAAATAATGTGAAGTAGTATGATAATTATATATGTGTAGTTATTCTTAAATATTTAACAAAAGCCGACCATGACTTAACCTCATCTAATCATGAATTATTGTAAGATTGTTGGAATCTAATCCAAGATAATCAAACAAAAGTCTACCTAAACATTTGCAAATTATTTAAGAGTTGAGGGGGCAAAATGCAAATTGTCGTTCTAATCGAGAAATTGTATCAGTTTTACTATAAGCTTTTAATTTCATCAATTTTGACTCTAAACTTTCAAATACCCAACCGAGCGTATTATCATATACATGTTTGTGTCATATAAAACGAAAAAAAAAAAAAGAAGAAAACAAATCATTAAAACAGAGTACAAATTACTTCTCAAAAGTTAAACCAAATAATTTAAATTATTTAATTAGAAACACGGGATGGACTCATTATCTACAATTAGAGTTTAAAATAAGACGGATGTCTATAAAAAATTTCAAAATAAATAAACGAAAAATACATAAGATAAAAGAGACAGAACGACTAAAATTCATGGACACAAACACTCTCTTCCGTCACATTTGTCTCGACCGGTACTCTTACCTTTACTTAAAAATATATTTAGAAAGGCTTATTAGGGTTTAGATATGCGTAGTTTGAATGCAATAATACTTCAAATAGGTGAGATTTTTCACCATTACAAAATTTGACCGACCGTTTCAATAGTTACATAAACGTACTTTTGAAAGACCACTAGTTCTCGATAATTTTAAAAAATTACCACAAATATAAAATAAAAAAAAATATGAAATTTGATCGTAGCCACGCGATACCTAACCACACTTAAGCAAGTCATGTTCATGTTCTTTAGCTCAATGTTTATTAAATCAATTTTTTTTATTAATTTATCGAAAAATAAAAATTCCGATAAAAAGACGGGTCATTCAAACCCATAATTTAAATCAATTAGAACGTATCTTAATCGTTGAATTAGTATTTTAAATTTATTAAAATGGTTGAAATTAGGTATAAGAAAGTAAAAGAGGTGCCTTTGCATGCGTGAGTTAAAGGCATTATACCCTTAGGCGTGACATTGTAATTTCATTATTATACTCTTTTTTTTAAAAAAAAAAAACAAAGTATTATATTTAATTAACCATAGCTCTACTTTTGATATTTTAATATTAATTTTTTCCCTAAAGTTTTATTTTTTTAATGTCGTAAGTTAAGTTATTTAAAAGTGTCATTTAGGCTTATCGTCACCAAACTTATAATATTGTTTTTATAATAAATTTGAGAATTCAAATTATCGGATCTTTCAATTTCAATGGTTTAAATTTTAATCCTTAATTTTAAAAAAGTCAACGTTCGACAAATTTAACACTCTTTAGTTGTGAACGGGATGGAATCCATCACTTCTAGTTAAACTCTTTAATTAGCCTCAAGTTCCTCAACTGGGTCGATGAGCTTATTGGTCTCGTTTTTCATTATTCTATTTTTCTCTTCTTTTTATTTGAGTTATCCCCGCTAAAATAACTTAATCCACGAATAGATAGAGGAGCTAGTCTGCCTTGTTTTTTGTTGCATAATTGTTATCGTTCCAAGTGTTAGAGTTAAAATAGCTTTGCCAACCTACTCTTTGGTTAACCTCCTCCAACAATATTTGATATTAAAGAGTAATCCCTGTCCTCGTCCTCGTCCTTATTTAGTTAATGGGAAAATTTTCTCTCTGTAAAGTTTCGATTCCACAAATTAAATGAACATATCTGAGTACTATTACGAAGTAATAAAGAGAAACACTCAACCATAAACCTAAACCTAATTAAATTTCAAAATCAGCATTTTATACAAGAATAGAAGATATCGGTGTTTGTTTGGTTCTTTCTCCTTCACCTGATTTACGAAGTCAACGAAGTTTAAACAATGGCCGACTACAAAAGAACTGAGTCGGAATTAATATTTAGTAATGGCATATAAGAAGCTAAATAATATGGTCCACTAGAAAAGAGAATTTGAGAGAGAGGGTTTACATTTAGTGAATGCAAGTTGCAGCAAAGGGTCAGCCATGAAAGCCTTCTTTCAACCAACTAATATTTGTGGGGGAGACCCTTTCTTTTCTGTCTCTAAATCTCATTTTCTCTATTATTTTTCGATGTCGGTGCCTTCTTTCGTTTTCCCAATCAATAACTCTGCGCCTTTCATTTTTTTTAGGCATTTTTCATACCCGACAAGAGATGGTTAATCTTTTTAGTTTCATTACCTACAGTATCATAAATCATTTTTTAAAACCCTACTATTGATGTGATTATCTCTTTAAAATGGTTAGATACAGATGTTAAGATTTATCTGTTCTTAATGATCCAGATATAAAAGTGAGGTACTTTCATAATTTCGCTCTCATACATCCAAACGTGCAAATTTTTCAATCCCATTGTGGTGGGTTCTTCGAATAATTTCTCCAATGGTCGAGAGAGATGGGTTTAGGGGATTTGACCTATAATCTATTGGTTGACGGAAAACCTTAACTAGTTGAGCTAAGACACGGTCGTATATTTTCAACCGTGCGGCATCATGATAATGTTATGTCTCATTTTTGTTGAATAGAGTTGAAGTTAGAGAAGACATTGATCGACTGTTTTCCACGCCAAATATTTGATGTGAATGTTGAGGAGCTTGCTGGTTCAAAATAAGATGGTGAAACCAAAGTTCCATCAACGTAACCCGACATGTCTTGACTCTCGAGGAGAGGGAGAAGTTGACTTTTCCAAAGAAGATAATTGGAAAAAGAAAGCTTAACGGTGATCATATGAATTAGTCTTGAAATGAAGAGAAGATGAGAAGAGAATCCGGAAGCCATGGAGAAGAAATGATCGAGGTTGCTAAACCAAATCGGCTCTGATAGCATGAGAATATTTACTAAAACAATCACACCTAAATGGTGGTGAAAGTTCTCTGTCTAAAATTATTTACATAAAATGAGATGAAAAGAGTAATAAATGGATACACGATATTAACCTATCATCAAGGGTCAAATATGATACATATGGTAAACAGACGGTTAAATATCTCCAATAATACAACATATTCATTAATCTTGGCTTCAATGCACATTTTAAATTGAATTATTCACCATTTTCCTCGACCGCATCATGACAATTGCTTGTTTTGGCCCTCACATGGACGAATGGGTGTCACGTTAGGACCATTGCTTTGTCTTTCTATGTAAGAGTCACAACCTACTCTCTTCTTAGTATAGTTGTGAAACTAAGCTCGTGGTGGTGATGATTTAATGTATAGATAATAAAATAAAGTTTTATCATAGGTATATTATTTCATATTTAAAACATGGTACAAATTCATGTACGTGACATCATGACATGGTCATTTATTTGATTTCATTGCATTCACCTAACCACTTGTCCCATCTATATATATATATATATATATTTTACTCATTTATTATTTAATGCTTCAATATTTTTTTTTATTTAATTCAAATTTAGTCTTTTATCCTTATAATTAAAATATTGATTTTTTTAATTTGATTAGGTTAAATATTATATTATATTTTTTCTTATGAAATTTAAAAATTATTTAAAAGAAATATATTTTTTAAAATATAATCTTTGACGGGACCAAAGATTCTGAACAGTAGACTTAATCCTAAAATTCTCACCTCAATCTCTATAAAAATAAATGGAGAATCCTTATTCTTTATCACCGGTGTATATGGATTGGGTAGGGTTTGAAAAATCTTTTGGATTAATTAAAATTTTTAATTTGGTTGAGGGATCGATTCGAAATAATTCACAACCCAACCTAACCCATTTTTAATTGGGTTATCGAATATAAATATTATATTAGTAACTAAAATCTCGAAAAATAATTTAAATATAAAATATTTAAAAATTACATCAATTACAACCTTAAATATTCTTAATATTTAAAAAGTAAGAATGAGTTGTAACCTATTCTCAGTTTGGTCGAATTGATTGGATGAAAAAAATGTTAACTTACAAATCGAACTGAATTTTCAATTTTTCTAAAATTTAACTCATCCCAAGTCGAAAAATTCTAACCCAACTCAGTTGGGTTAGATAGTTCGAGTTAGTCGAGTTATCGAGTGATATGAATTTCTGTAATAAACTAAATTGATCGATTTATTTTATATAATTTATAAAAAGTAAATGGAATATGGTACTTTTTGATTAAAAGAAATTAATGGGTTATTAATAAACGAAAGCAGAAGCCTTGAATGGCTGAAAGTAAATGAAGGCTTTCATTAAGCCATTCTGATGCATTCAGACACGGTTTTTGTACTACGAGTCGATGGTTATTTATTATAATTTATTATTTTTTTTCTTTTAATTTTTTAATTACTTTTTTTTTAGTTTTTTATAATTTATTTGGTTGGGCAGAGTAAAAACATAGCTGGCAATGTCTTTCTTCTTTTCCGCCGTAAAAAGAAGTGAATTTCATTTTTAATTCATCATTTAACCCCCTCCTTTTTTACTTTTTACTTTTTTAAATTCACTCACTATTTTCCTTTTTTCACCCTTCTTTAATTGTAATAATTATTTTTTATTTTTTTTATTTTTTTGTGAAAAGTAAAAGGAATGAGATCACCAGAGTTAGATTTGTGTTAATAGTTTTTTTTAGTTTACGGAATTTAAAGTGAAAGCTAATTATTTATTATACTTAAGTTAATTAAACTATTTTTAAGGCTATATATTTATGAGTTAATTATGTCTTAATTTATTTATTTTTGTCTCAATTCTTTGGTAAAAATAAATTTTAAAAAAATGATTTAATGAAAGATCATTTAAGTTTTTAAATAAATTTAAAAGTATTAATCAAAATCGAGATTTTTTTATAGATAAAATACTATTTTTATTAATTTAACTTTAAAATTTTTATTACTTGAACTTCAATCTACCATTCAAATCACATGTGATGCGAAAAAAACTATTCTTTCTTTATATTTATTTATGTGAGCTCTCCAAAGATACACCATAAACGAAGTAAATTGTTCCTTTTTTAACGTAATGTAATCGTTTACGTGTTTATTTTTCTTAATATCTACTCCAATTTTTGGACCAATATAGAAAACAAAATATTCGAGTAACGTTACAAGTTAGGGATATTAATTAAGGTCGAACCAGGAGAGTTTAACAAAACTGTTAAAATAAAGCTTCAACTATCGTAATATTCACTTCAATAAGAAAAAACGGTAATTAGAATATTAGGTTTCTGAGTGAGACAATGTATTGTGAAAAAAATTTAAGACAAAAGGTTGACTAAAAAGGAAGAGAAGATGGGAGAGGAAGCAACCACATGGGTTTCCTCACATTCCCTCCTTCAAAACAAATCACTTTTTCTCTTCTTTTTTTTTTTCCTTAATTTTTTAAATAATTAAAAAAGCGACCTCGAACTCGAATAAAATAAATTACAATTATTCTACTCTAATTACCAAAATTTTAGGTTGGATAGGTTGATGACTAGAGCAATCTGAATATAATTCTTTTAAAAAAGTTTACATTAATGATTAAAATTTGTAAAATATTTTTAATTTTCATAATACTCTTAAAAATAGGATAAAATTAGGTTGAGTTGAGTTGTAACCTATTTTATGGTTGATCGGGTTGACTCGATCAAAACAAAATGTAAAATTGCAAATTGAATCAAATTTTTTATTTTCTAAAAATTCAATCTAACAAAAAAAAAAAAATTAAACTAACAGTCGAGGTGGATGGATTCTCAAAATGATATGAGATCTCTAACTCTCGTCTCATTTTAAAATTAAAATAATCTTATTTTTCAAATTTAAAAAGCTATATTTTTATATGGTTATTGTTATTTGTCGTAACAACATTTAATAGCAATACACAAATAAACATGGTAAATTTCAATATTTTACAACATTTAATAGGAAAGTTAATCACGATATGCCAACCATGGTAATTTTCATTATTGTTACCGTATTTAGTAAGAAAGTTAACCACTAATTATCAAATATGGTAAATTTGTATATGAATTTATGACCTAAATTATCCTAACTAATTATTTAATTCAAATAATTATTAACCATTTCTATTATTTTATTGAATCACAAAGTCCTATCCATTAGAGTTCATCATGGAATTTACCCAAGTCTAGAAAGGTTCTACCCTTTTACTGAGATACTTAATTAATTAAGGTTGAATCATAAATAAATTATTTATTAAAAACATCAACTGCACTTAAAAAAATATATAATTACAAAATAAAATTAGATTTTTAACATAATTTTAAATATAAACCATTTGTAAACAAGTATTTTATTGGTAATAATTATAGATAAATCTATAATGTATAAGACAGTGATAGAGTTAATAAATAAAAATTAATTAATTAATTTGGTATAATTTAAAGTTATAAGATATGTGTAAAATTTTAAAATATTGAAATTAATGTTTAATAATTAAATTTTAGATATAATATAGAATGAAAAAAATATAATATTTATTCTAATATGTCAAGTATTTACAAGAAGAACAAAATTTATATATAAAACGAAAAAAAAAAAAAAAAATTTTATAGCTCACTCATTTTAAATTATACTTTTTTTTTTCTTTCTAATTTGATTTGCTAGCAATCGCTATACACAGACGAATCAATTTCCGAAGAACATATTTTCTTCAAAATAACAGAATTAATTTCACGTAAATTACCATAATTACTCCTCCGTAAAATTGTCGTCTTCTCCGGCGCCGACAACGAACCGACGGAGCCCGATTCAACTCCGGCGAGCAAACTCGCATCGGGAATCGACTCAGTCGCCATGATCACCTTCACATTCTTCAACAAAAACTCACTGTTAACGAGGTGACTCAGTACTGCCGAGTCGGACACCGAGTTCTTCTTGTGCTGCATCAGAGCTCTGGCGATTTCCACAACCATAGCGTTTGACAGCCGCCGGACTCCCCGCGCTCCGCCGATCACGACGGCCGGATTCACCAGATTGTGCGATTTTTCTGAGTTCTTTTTTGTGTGTTTGTTTGTGAAAAGAATCACCGACTCGGTTCCTTTGTTTCTTATTCGGCCGAGTGGATCGCCGATTAGAACCGAGTTTTTGGCGTCGACGAGCATTACATGCTTGAAATTCCGGCGGACTCGTCCAAGTAGCATCGGATAACACGCCCACCGTCGTAGACTCATTGGAATGTGATCTGAGAAGCCGGAAAGCGAATTCTCTGGATCAATCTCCGCCGCGTCGAAACTCACCACCGAGCCGTAACTCAACCGAGTCAACTCGTCCTCGCCGCCGCCAGAATCGTTAGTGAACCGTTTCCTTTTCTTTCCCCAAATCGGCTCCTCCGGTTCTTTCTTTTCTTTGATCTTAACAAACTGATTCACATCAAATCCCGCCACCGCCCTCCGGTTCGCCGTGATATTCGAATTCCGGGATCGGTGAAGGAGTTTCAGAAACGATTCGTTTTCCTCTCGAATAATCGGACCGAATTTCTCCGAGAACGGCAGTGAGGCGAAGATGAAGACGGAGTCGGATTTAGCGGTAACACCGGACCGATGGAACAGTCGGAGAAAGAGGCGGAAGTCGTCTTCTCTGACGTCTTCCGGTACATGAACAACCGTGATGTCCGCCATGGCTCGAGTACCTCGCAAATACAGAGTCCCCATACGTTGCAGAGCCGCCATAGAACCGGTCATCGTATTCACCACGGCCGGTTTCTGCTTCCACATTTTGCGAAACCAATTCCAGCGATTCACCGACGGCGTACGGATTTCAATCGGCGTGGATTTCCGGGAGAGGAGCCTTCGTGGAGGTGTGAGGTTCATTTTAATGGCGGGTTCGAAAGTGGAGAGAGTGAAGAGAAGAAGAGAAACAAAGACGAGCAGAGCACAGACGGAAATGGTGGACTGAGCTTTAGAGAGAAGATTGTAATTACTCCGACGACCTGAAGAAGAAGAAGAAGAAGATGGAAAGAGCTTATTGTGGTCGGCAATGGCGGAAGGGGAATCTTCAGAGAAGAAGACGAGAAAAAGGCCCATTCCCCAATTCTCGACGGCGGTGGATTTGGATTTTCCGGTGACCAAGAGGCCCATTTCAATGGCGGATTTGGAATCGGAATTTTGGGGATTTTTAATGTAAGGATTTAATTATTAATTTATTCCACAAGAGAGTGACCGTCTCTTGTGGAATGCTGCTCCATTTTTCCATTTATTGTCGCTTTCAATTTTTTTTTTAATTATTATTTTTAAATTATTTTCCCTTTTTCTTTTTTTGATTATTTAACTTTTTAAAATAATAAAAACAAATTTGATTATAAAACGTGGAGGAGAGAGAGTAAATAACCTCAGCTTTGAGTTTTGATTCCCCACGGAAGTTTCTGTTTTTTATTAATAAATAATTGTATTTATTTCCTATTAATTTTCTTTATTCTTATGCTAGTTTATATAAATTTTATATTTTATTCCAAAACCACCTTTAAAATTTTCAAATACCATTGAAATTTTTGAAATTTTAATTATATATTTAAAATAAAATATAAAATTTATATAAACTTTTACTAATTTAACCATTTATATAATATATATATACATAATTAATGCTTTTAAAATTTAGCTAATTTTAGAGTCTGTTTTTTTCAATGAATTTGGTTGCTAATTTTTTAGAAATTCAGTCTTAGTTCTTTAATGCTTAACGTGTCATTAAAATTAAAAGAGTAGGTTACTTTATTAATTTAGTCCACATTTTTAATAACTTTGAGTTACGTTTTGGTTAAACTCTAAATCAACTGGGTTCGTAATTAAAATGCAGCCGATGATTTAAAAAAAAATCATATTTATCTACCCTATTATATTAATAATTAAAATTTCATAAAGTTTAAATATGAAACATTTACCATTCAAACATACCACAATGTTTCATTCAATTGGTTATGGTTCCATGAACAGATTCATTATCTTTTCCTTTCCTACCAAATGACACATGATTGATTGAATTGGTAGGTCTTCTTGTTTGCATCCTCTTAGTTCCCCAAGAAATATTATCATTATAAAAGTAACTATGTTAATTATTATTAGTAGAAGTATATCTCTCCTTCTATCTCTCCTTCTATAACAAATCGACCCCTTAAATAACCTGCTATAATATAATTTTATCTACCTCGAGCATAATGGTATGATATTGACCGCTTTGAGCATAAGCTCTCGTGACTTTGTTTTGGGCTTCTCAAAAGGTCTTATACCAATGGAGATAGTATTCCTTACTTATAAACACATATGATTATTCTATAAATCAGCGAACGATTATATTTATGAAATTGAATAAAAAGAAGAACCATACTTTTTTGGGTCGTGATTGATTTGAAATTTTTTGGGTCGAATTTTCAATCATTTTAGCTAACATTTGGACCAATTTCAAAAGGCCCAGGCGGGCAAGAGCCCATTCAAAACAACCTCCGTCCCGATCTTGTACTTCCCTGCCTCTCCGCCGTAGCCGGTGCTACACTTGCCGGAGTCATCATCGGTGGGCTACTACTCGATGGAAATATCGACGGCGTCTCCACCGGAGTCCCCTCTACGATAAGGTTCGCCGGAATTTCTGGTTCTGGTGTAGTCCCGATAAGAGAAACCACCGAGAAGCATCGGAAAGGCGGCGGAGACGGCCGCGAAGAACCCGGAGAAACTACACTGACTACTGGACTCGCAGCTGGCAAAGGAACCGGAGGAACTTTACTCACCACTGGATTCGCCGCCAACTAAGTAACAGCAGGAGGTCGACAATGACGGAGACGACATAATTAACACAACATAATTACCTAATGTGTTTGGTGGCTAATTGTCGAATCGAATTACACGAATTAATTACCACAAAATTATTTTGTAGTATATTTATCGTGTACCAAAATATGTCTAGTAGGTGTGATATGTGATGCACAGCAAATATGAAATTTCATAAATCCTGCTAAGAATCTGTCTCCGGCCCCATTTATCTAATGAAAAAAAAAATGTTTTCCATTCTTTATCTAAACTGAGAATTCACTCCCTGTTCGTGGCTAGTCGGACCGAGATAATTAACATCTCTAACTGCAACATTCCCATTTAAACACTTTAAGAACGTTTCAACGGTTAGCCTTCAAAATATGTTTCTTTAATCTTCAAAATCATCACAAGCCCTCGAATACTCCTATTTTGCTCGTGTAGCTTGAAATCTACAAACTACATTTTAGCCCATGGACAAATTGAATATTTGAAATGACGTCAAACATGAATTTTGACAACTTTGGCTTGTTAAGTATCGCGGTTAGTTTCACAGTTTTAAAACGTGTCTATTAGGAAAATGTTTTCACAACCTTATAAGAAATGATTCGTTTCCTTCTCCCACCAATATGAAATCTCACAAATACTCACGTAGATTTTGACAACAAACTCTAGCCATGAAAGCCGGTAGAAGGTAGTCACAGTTAATGACTTTCCTTTCCTCTATAGATATGTTCCAAAGAAGAAGACTATTTGAGAGGGAACTCGATGATATACTTTATTTGAGAGAAAAAATGGATGGAAACGTCATTGAAGTTCCATATTGGCTAGATAAGCAGAAGATCGTGAGCATATCAAGGACGGTTTGGATTTAGTTGACTGCATGAAGACGGAAATAAAGGTGTGAGAAAATGTTAAATTATTCATAATTTCTCGTTTGAAAATTTCGGGATGAGAACGAGTCATTCCCATGCTTTTGTGTATACCGGTGAAGAAGGGAAATTGATTCGGGTTTTTTCATGCCTTCCTCTTTTCATATCTTATTATTATTTTTATTTAATTGAATAAATGTTGTTAATTTAAATTAATTTGTATAATTGACCCTACTATATAGAGATTAAACAAAATTATTATTATTATCTATTTAATTTTTTATTAATTATTACTGTCTATTTTTAAAATTTTTTATGCATAAAAATAAACGACGTTAACGTTGCTCTTAAAATTTCATGAGTAATTTTTCAACAACCAGTAATAAATATTAATAAAACTTTAATATTGTTTTTTTTTATAAATAATTTAGCCAATACTAATTTATTGTAAATTATGGGAGGAAGTTTCGGATAAAACGTAGGGCGCGTGTGTCACACTCTCCAACGAAAAAAAACATAGAGAGGCCGAAGAGAAAGCCCTCTTCGGCTTTCCCGTAGGCCGTATCGCTTTTAACTCTTGGAGTGTCTGGTTTGTATGGTCTCAAACTCAAATGGCTGCCTCTCTCAAGATAGGAATCGGCTCCTCCGTTTCCTCCCACCATTTCTCCGCCATGCCCGCCCTCTCCAATGCCCTTCCGCCTCATCGCCTCCTCCTCCTCCTCTCTCCTTCCCCCTCTCGCCGCTGCTCCCTCGCTTTCCGCTCCTCTCGCACTCCTCCTCGCCGTCTTCTTCTTCGCCTTTGCGCCTCCTCCGATGACGACATCTCTCCTTCTCCAGGTTACTTCCATTTTTGTTATTTTTTGTTCATCTCCGCTAATGTATTTTGTTATTTTTTGTTCTGTGTTTGTAAGTGCGTGTTTTCGTCCTTTGGATTGGATGCGTTTGGCGCGGGAAAGCTCTGTGACGCTTATCTGGATTTTTCGCCTTTTTTAGGAGAATTGATATAGGAAGCATTTAATTTATTGAGTTTGATTTTGTGTGTTTCAATGTGGAATCCGTGGTTTCCTTTTTCTGCGTGACTTGATTTTCTACTTTCCTGATGTTTGGATATATAATCAATGCGCATATTTTTATTAGCCTAATAATTGGTCTTTCCTGTGAAACATCTGGCACTCAATTTATTTATTTCTGCTCGTGGCTGTGTTTGTAAGTGCGTGATTTCATCTTTTGGATGTTCTGCGAGTATCGTATTTTTGTAATATCTGTCTAAATTTTCTATCATTTTGAAGAGAAATTAGTTAAAGTTAGAGGTTCTTTTATTACTCGAATTTTGATGTAGAACTTTTCGATTTTCCACGTGACTCTACTACACTTACATTTCCTAGTTTCCTGATGTTTGAATATATAATCAGTGCGCATGTTTTTTTTTTTTTTTTAAGTGGACTCATTGGTCTTTCTTGACATGGTTTCAAACTGATAATAGACATTGCTCCCTTTGCACCTTAGTGATCAATATATCCTCATGTTTGTAGGAAAATATGTAGGCTGATGTATGTAACTTTGTTGTTGAGTAGTTGGATAAGTTCTTTCCAGCCGAAACAAGTAGTTGTTTCAGACATAGTAGTGCCAATTATTTTATTCATCCTAGCGTTTGTAGTAGAGGTGCTCACTCACTGGTTCTGATACTCACTGGTATCAATATTATTTTATTCATCCCAACATTTGGTTTAGCTTTCCTCGCCGTAGTTGTAGCGTAGACATCGTGGTTATAATTTGTTTTGTTGGCATATAAACTTAATAACCATCATATGATATTGCAATTATATATGCTTTTTGGGTTGAAATTGTATTGGTTGCAAGGTTTTTCTTCATTCATTTTACATGAGATAATTACTTCAATAGATAGAAAAGAATTGGTTTCTAATTGGAAATGTTAGATATGAAGTTTGTTGTATGTGTGTGTGTATGAAGTTGGAATTTTGAGGTGTACTCGCATAAGATCATGAGAGTGATCATGTGTTCTTTATAACAGGAGTCGAGAATCTAGTAATTATAGGTTCTGGTCCTGCTGGATTTACTGCAGCCATATATGCGGCTCGGGCAAATTTAAAGCCTGTAGTGTTCGAGGGTTTTCAAGCAGGTGGTGTTCCGGGAGGACAGTTAATGACTACCACAGAAGTGGAAAATTTTCCTGGGTTTCCTGATGGAATTACTGGTCCAGATCTGATGGATAGGTAAAGTAATATAAAGTATGGGAAATGCTTTGGTTTTTCTTGCTTTCTATCACAACGGAAGAGACATTGGTTAGGGATCCATGGGCAGATTGTTTCGGTTGTAATCTTCATATTATAATTGGATAGGATGCGGAAGCAGGCGGAACGGTGGGGAGCTGAATTATTTCAAGAAGACGTGGAGTCTATTGATTTAAACAATAGACCTTTTACTGTGCAAAGTAGTGAACGCAAGGTGATGAATTATTTTCTATCAAAATGTATGGAGAAACTATGAATTCTTGACTTCCTCTTTTAAGAACTTTATTGTTTATCTAGTATCATCAATTCATTCTTTGTGTACTACTACTTTTCCCTAATATTTTATTTTTGTTATCACTTATCTAAGAATTGAAGAATAATTTGGACTTTAGATTTTTCCTTGTTTCAATTCATTTCGTTAATTATTTTGTATTTATGCCTCTAAGCTATTCAATTCATCTGTCTTGGTGTTTAAAAAGTACATGGCGCTTCTTTTCTTTCTAATTTTCTTTGGCCTTTTCTCCTTATAAATTTCAGGTCAAGTGCCATAGCGTAATATATGCGACAGGAGCAACAGCAAAGCGACTTAGGTTACCTCGTGAAGATGAATTTTGGAGTAGGGGAATTAGTGCTTGCGCAATTTGTGATGGAGCATCACCCTTGTTTAAGGGTCAAATTCTTGCTGTTGTAGGAGGAGGTGATACAGCAACAGAGGAAGCCTTATACCTGACTAAATATGCTCGTCATGTTCATTTACTTGTACGTAAGGATCAACTTAGGGCTTCTAAAGCAATGCAGGATAGGTATGTTAGTCAGTTCAATATTTTGGCAAAGAGTCACTTTTATTTTATAGTAGTTGGTTTGATATCTTATAAATACTAGGTACTTTTAGGGTAAGGAATTCTTATCTTTCAACCTTTGCTCGCTCGTTTTTTATTTTATATGTCTAGAAATGCAATAATGTGATTCTGGGAAAGAAAAACCAAAATTTTCATGTGGAAGCTATTAGGGAACCTGGGCCCCCTTATTTCTACTTTATGCTTGTAGATTGTATTGGCTGCTTACGTTGAAATTTGAATTATCCTAACAGGCTTATGTATCCGGTATAATGTTATATTCTTATAATAAATATTTGTGGTTGCTTTAAAAATTAAGAAACGGGATAACTTATTCGGAGGACAATGATGTGTCTTGTTATTTGCTCAACTGGTTTGTATTGACTGGGTCTTTATTACTTCTTTATGTTCATTTTTTTGATAAATTCGGTTTGATCAATTTTACATTTTAAATTATCAAGTGCGTATGGAAACAATATATCATGTACCTTAGAATAGGTGACTTGTTGAGTTATGGGAAGTCCTACGGCTTATCAAGTGAATTGGATAAGCCAGAAGAAAATCAAAACTTTAATTTAGCAATAGTGTAGAGCCTTTGGAGGATAATGAAAGACTTGACAACTCGTGGGCTGGGTGACTTTTTGAGTGTCTTTGGAACGTAACTTTTCATTGCTCTTCACAGTTGTTAACAATAATTTCATGGTTTTTCAGGCCCATCTTTCCTTATAAATTGACCTTATAGCAGTCTTGCCTTACACTTGGTATATACAGCCTTTTATGTTGACTCCCAGCTATCTCTAGGTTTACAAATAAACAATTTGTATGTGAGTTTTCAACCCCTTGAATGTTTGTTTAACAGGTTGATTATCGCGAATGTTTCAGAGTGTTCAACTGCCCAAATGTTACCTTGCACTTTAACACGGAGGCTGTGGACATTGTTAGCAACACAAAAGGGCAAATGACTGGCATTTTAGTTCGAAAGGATGATACTGGGGAAGAGTCTGTGCTGGAGGCAAAGGGTTTATTTTATGGAATAGGTCATTCACCAAACAGCCAGTTATTGAAAGGCCAGGTTGAGCTTGATAGCTCTGGGTATGTGTTGGTGGAGGATGGTACTGCAAAAACTTCTCTGGAAGGTGTATTTGCAGCTGGAGATGTGCAGGTATTTTCCTCCTGAGTGCATTGTTGATTATTGCTATAGCTTACAAGAGCTGGTTCGTTTGACTCTTGTTTGCATCAGAATTGTCTTCAAAGCAAAAGTTTAATTTTTGTTTGAACTAGAAATGAACTATTCATTGATAAATTAAAAGAAACTATACAAGTTTAATAATTGATTTAACCTTTAATTAAATAGAATTTATTCTTTTCAGTTTTGAGATCCACTTATAACTTTTGCTTTCATCAACTATGGATTTTTTTTTATTTTTTTATTTTTATGATCATTTATGCAATTAAATCGATATGACTAATAATGACATGGAATTTTGGTAAAAAATGATTGTGGCCACTTTTCTAATGTTTCCAGGGCAACCCATAACTTGTCCAGGTAGTAGACTGCGTGCTCTTGGAACATATTAGTTTCAGGATCTTTTCATCTTAATGTATTGTGGTGAGCGTCGGCCTTTGATGTTTGAAAATCAACTAAATAGGATTAACATTTTTTTGAAGAACTATGTTGTCAACTTGAGCATGTCCACAAGGTGTGAATCTGTGATGAGACATAGAGGCACAAAAACGGTTCCCTAGTCAAATTTATTATACAATTTCTATCCATCTTTTTTCTTGGAAAACCATGAAATTGATATTACCTATATCATCTTTTGATTTCGTTTCTTCTTAATTTCTAAGGATCATGAATGGAGGCAAGCTATCACAGCTGCTGGATCTGGATGCATTGCTGCTTTATCTGTTGAGCGCTATCTTGTGAGCAAGAATCTTCTTATTGAGTTCCACCAGGTATCAAAACCCTGTTGAAGTTGGTTGGTTGACTGGTTTCTTCTCAGACAGTTGGCATATGTCACATATTCCAATTACTGATTGTTTTTGGTGCAAGAATTACTGAATTGTGTTAAAAGAGACTTCTGCACTTTTATTTTGTTTTTGATTGATTAAAGTCCAACCTCAGATGTTTTCACCATTTTCAACCATAGCTTTGTGTAACAAGTGACAAAGTCGCTTATGCATATTGGGGAAGTTGTTTTGTGCAGCAGGTTTATCACAAGTAGTTCATTGATGCTAACATGATCATTCTTGTATTTGCTTTTCCAGCCCCAAACTGAAGAGGTTAAGAAGGAACCAATAGACAGGGATGTTCGGGAGGGTTTTGATATCGCACTTACAAAGCATAAAGGCCAGGTATGTATTTTTCTCGTCTGTTTCGGTAATTATGTTACAATGTTTTACATAATGTTTTACTCTTCTACGGTTGTGGCTTTCAAAATATTTTTTGTTATTCACTCAAATTTTACTATCTTTTACATTTCTGTTTTTCCAGTATGCGCTTCGGAAACTATACCATGAAAGCCCCAGGCTTATATGTGTACTATATACGGCTCCAACGTGTGGTCCATGTAGGACTCTGAAGCCACTTCTTAGCAAGGTAGAAAATGTGAAGTTATTCGTTGGATTGAGTGTAGGGTCAATCCATCCAGTCCGCATGAATTATCTGCTTTGACATGCTTGATGATAAACTCCACTGTCATCTGTTTTATTTTTCTGATGATGTTGATGACCAATCATTGATATGCTTATTAGCCTTCATTAATGTTATCTTCCAGGTGATTGATGAATTTGATGAAAGTGTCCATTTTGTCGAAATTGATATTGAGGAAGACCAAGAAATAGCAGAAGCAGCTGGGATTATGGGTACTCCATGCGTGCAGTTCTTCAAGAATAAGGAGATGGTCAGGTATGTTTTGCATCTTATTTTAGATCATATTTGATGCATAAATAAACCCACTGAATGATATGATCTCTACATGTGGATTTACATTTCCTTTTCATGATCGTTTCTGACTCCCTCATGAAATCATATTTGTTGTCCCTTCAAGGTTTTAGGACTGGTTTGGAATTACCTTTCAATTTGGAAGCGTTTAAAAAAAGTTTTTTATTTTTATTTTTTAATTTTTATTTTACAAATGTCTTGTCACCTAGCCGGAAATTGGATTGAAGGACACCAAGAAATGCAAAATTCAATGGTATATTTGTTGAGCTTGAAAACTCAGGACCCAAATGCGATCTAATCTATAACCCAGACCTCATGAATGTATTTCTTAAAATAAAAAAATTATGAAGAGGCACGCGTATTTTACAAAAACAAAATCATTATCAAACAAGCCGTAAAATATTTGAAAGTAGGGCTCCTCTTTATTCTTTCAATAACATTCATTACTAAGTGTGAGATTCCACATCAGTTGAGGAGAACTAAACATTCTCTATAAAGGTGTGGAATCCTGTCTCTAGCAGACGTGTTTTAAAATCTTGAGGGAAAGCTTGTAAAGGAAAGTCCAAAGAAGACAATATTTACGCTTCAGCCGTTAAACCAAGTGAGGGTTGAAGCAATTCTAACACAAGATAGATAACTCCTATACTCCTGTACCACTTTTAAACAGGGGAAATCCTCATCATATGGAGTGTTTGGCATGGATAATTTTCAGATGTATTTCTCACCAATATTCTATTTATTGATTCTTATGTAGGAATATATCTGGAGTCAAAATGAAGAGCGAGTATAGAGAATTCATCGAGTCAAACAAATGAGGTGGTGAAGCTATTGCCCTTGATCTTCTGCCTTCAATTTTGTTTCATTTGTCCTAATAAGATATAGCCAATTGGAAAAATGCTTAAATTTTTTTCATGTTCTGTAACATTCATATTTATAATGTATGTATATTTTAGATACAGAGCTGAGAAAAAGGGCAAAAAAAAAAAAGAAAAAAAGAAAAAAAGAAAAGAATTATGGTCATGTGCAGAACAGACAGACATTCATTCGAGGGGATGGCTCATATTGTTCGTCGTCAAATTTGTTGGTTGTAGTTTCTGGATGAATAAGGTTCGATTCCTTCAATAATACATCAGCCAATTCATTCTTGTTTTAGGTCTATTGATGATAATTACTGTGAGAACTGAAAATAAAACGCACAGGTTCAGATCCATAACTATTGTTCAAGTCTTTTTCTTAATGCACGCTGTTTATTAAACTACTAGCGGTAATCCCATATAACTTTTGTGGATTGTTTGGTTTTTTTTTTTTTGGAAAGTCTTAACTCTTATTGGTCTATCGGTAAAGATTGATTTTGTTTAAGATGCTTAGAAATAAGATGAGTAATTCGTATCACTAATTTCCATCATCAAAATGAGAAATATATAAAACCCTGCTGATCATGGTTTTAATTTACACAACCTACGTTACAAAATTTGAGAATGAAATTTATATTTTACCCTAAGAATAATATCACTACGATAAAGCCACTTCAACTGAAGACGAGGAACATTATTTTGCTAAGAAAAAATTTAATGATGATTAGTTATGAGAGGGGACATCGTCAAGGATGAATGGACCAAGCTTACCGGCCCTGAATAGAGTAAGTAGTTTCTTTGACACTTTCAGACGAGCTTCCGCTGCCTTGTGAGGTATCTTCATTGCTTTCTGCAATGCTTCAAACTGCACTTCGATGAGACTTTCTAAATCATTCTCATCTTCAACATTGCCATCAAATCCAGAAAACGTTGCGTAGAGTGCACGTTGAACTTGTGTAACAAGATCCTGGTCAAATGAATTCAGAGAAAAAGAACACAGTTATCCTTTTAGATTTATACACAGCTTTCATGGAGAGGAATGAAAGTCAAACAAAGGTGGGGTTATACAAAAACCACACAATAATTAACGTCTTTCTCTGTTTTTAGCATAGAAAGCCATAAACACTCTTAAGAGTCTAATAAGAAATCCTTCCCTTACCTCGACGTATACCACATCAGATTTATTTGGAAGGGGAGGCCTCCTTTTTGGTCGGAGGTCATTAAGACTAAATCTGTGCATTTCCTCTGATTCATATTGAATACCCTCCATTCTTCTGTTATTCGATTGTTTCCAATGGAAGGGCGTCCCCCGAGTATTCAAAACTGCCAGTAGATATTGAGCAATACGCTCCTCACCCACCACGGAATCCTTCACAGATCCTGCTTCCAAGTGAAAAAATTACAGCGTTAGCTTGACAAGTGGATGCAGCAATACTGTCAGTATCTATGTCATCGTGAAATATTAAAATGGAGAGGAAACTAAGTGTGAGATCCCACATAGGTTGGAGAGGGGAACAAAGCATTCCTTATAAAAGTGTAGAAACCTCTCCCTAACAGATGCATTTTTAAAACGTTAAGAGGAATCCCAGAAGGGAAATCCCAAATAGGTCAATATCTGCTAGCAGCTTGGGCTGTTACACTAAGCCATATAATTTCTAATGAATTAAACTCAATTGGGGGTGTGATCCGCTATACTTGCGAGATGGGCTCAGTTGGTAAGGGATGGGAACTCCATGTTCATCAAATTCTCTAGACTCAAATTTACAGTAATTAAGAAGTTTCAGTCCCTTAGATTTAGTTTATGGTGGTCAGCTTTCATATGTGTTTACAACTTCAGCAGTAGAAGTAATTAAAGGCTCAACTGCACAATCAATATTCTACATCCTTGCATCATTCTAGTATATTATATCCCAGTGCACTATAGCTGTACAAAAAGCTTCTGACAAATCAAAAACAGTTCTTACAAACTGAAATACAACCTGCAAGTGCCAGTTTCAGCCCCGTCTCCACGTCTTTAATACTTGGAACTAAAACACCTGGAGTATCTAGAACATATATGCTAGGTTGATGAGCAATCTGCATATCGAAGAAGCGCAAATGGTTAAGAACTCATCATTATATGAAGGAAGACATGTGGTTGATCAAAACTACCTTGAAGCCAGCAATATCTTGAGTAACCCCAGGCAAGGGACCAACATTAGCTCGCTTCATTTTCTCCTGCACTATGAAAAAGTATTGAAACCACAGAAGTCCAAAAAACAAGGCCTCTAAACCAAACGCATCCATATTTGTACCCTTCTGAATAAAGAGAAATTGGCATTATGTTCCAAGAAACAGCCTTACCAGGAAAGCGTGCAGAAGCTATTTGATGGATTGAGTTAATTAAAGCCGACTTCCCAACATTTGGAACACCAATGACCATCACAAGAAGAGTAGGTTCCCTTGAAATCGCTTCCTTTAGTTTAAATTCCACAAGCTCGAGAAGCTTTTTCATCAATTAACAAAAGTACAGACAATATACCACCAATAATTTCAGCAAATCAATATACCACAGGAAATCAGTAGCTAGAACTTCAAAATTAATTGCAAGCTGAGAATTAATATCGACGCAATACTGTAGAAAATAAAAATACCTTCCGAACAGAGCTCATGCTGTGAGCGTTAATTGGAATACAATCTTGATTGCATGACTCAAAAAAGTGCGTCCATTTCTGCACAATTAAAATCGTAATGAAAACAACACGAACATGAGACAACTATGGACGAAAAATGATCGATGAATGACTAAAAAGAACATGACAAATAACTAACTCTTAGAAATTTGATACACACGACATTTAAACCGTATATTCTAAGAAAGGAAAGGACCAACAGAGATACAGTGAGCTCATTTTATAGAACAAGCTCATCTTAAAGAACAAATAGCGTTTGAAATTGATCTTAGTAGTGAAGAAAACAGTTCTATTGTAGACCAACAACGAGATAAAAGATAACTGAGAAGGGACCATACAAATATGAAAATCATTGTCCGTTGTCAATCCATTTATGAACTCAGAGATCATGAAATGGTGTCTTACATGCATGATATTAGGGTTAGCCAAATCCTTCTTGTTGAGGGCAATGATGCGGCGTTTAGAAGAGAGATGAGACTGAAGGTCTTGGTTGGCCGAGGACAGGGGAATTCGGGAGTCTCTGACCTCGATCACCATATCCGCGAGCTTGACTCTGTCGCGAATGGCACGCGTAGCTGCGGCCATGTGGCCGGGGAACCAATTGATGGCTCCACCGGCCGCAGTGAATTCCATCTCTCCTAAAGCCTTCTTCACCACTCCAGTGATCCCTTTCATTCTCTCTCTCTCTCAAACAACAGAGACGGAGGTTTAGGGTTTAAGGTGGCCATTTTTTACGTGGCCGAGAGCACTACTGTTTTGGGCTTGGAAAATATTTATACATTGGGCTTTTTCATTTCGGCCCATTAGAAAAACTAAGCTCCAGAAAATCAAAATGTGGGTTTCTAGACAATTCGGCCCATTTTTTACGTGGCCCAGGGAGATTCGGTTTTGGGCTTGGGCAATATATACATTGAGCTTTTTCCTTTCAGCCCATTTGAGAAACTGGGCTCCGGAAAATTAAAATGTGGGCTTCTAGACCATTTGGGCCATTTTTTACGTGGCCCAAAGCGCTTAGGTTTTGGGCTTGGGCACTATTTATACAGTGGGCTTTCCCCTTCGGCCCATTAGAGAAACTGGGCTCCCGAAAATGAAAAAGTGGACTTCTCGACAATTTTGGGCCATTTTTACGTGGCCCAGGGAGCTTCGGTTTTGGGCTTGGAAAATATTTATACTTTGGGCCTTTTCTTTTCGGCCCATTCGAGAAACTGGGCTCCCGAAAATTTAAATGTGGGCCTCAACACAATTTTGGGCCATTTTACGTGGCCCAGGGAGCTTCAGTTTTGGGCTTGGACAATATTTATACTTTGGGCTTTTTCTTTTCGGCCCATTAGAGAAACTGGGCTCCAGAAAATTTAAATGTGGGCCTCTAGACAATTTTGGGCCATTTTTTACGGGGCCCAGAGAGCTTCGGTTTTCGGCTTGGACAATATTTATACTTTGGGCTTTTTCTTTTCGGCCCATTAAAGAAACTGGGCTCCCGAAAATTTAAATGTGGGCCTCTGGACAATTTTCGGCCATTTTTACATGGCCCAGAGAGCTTCGGTTTTGGGCTTGGACAATATTTGTACTTTGGGCCTTTTCTTTTCGGCCCATTAGAGAAACTGGGCTCCCGAATATTTAAATATGGGCTTATAGACCTTTTTGGGCCATTTTACGTGGCCCAGAGCGCTCCATTTTTGGGCTTGGGCAATATTTAAACTTTGGGCTTTTTCCTATTGGTCCATTAGACAAACGTGTCTCCTGAAAATTAAAATGTGGGCTTCTAGACTATTTTGGGCCATTTTTTACGTGGCTGCGATCGCTTCGGTTTTGGGCTTGGATAATATTGGATAATATTTATACTTTGGGCATTTTCCTTTCGAATGATCTATCTTTTTATTTTTAAAGAAAGGCTAAAATAATAAAGTATATTGAGGAAAAGAGAAATAGCCATTGAAAGGATGGAGAATAATTGGTAGGACTAAATTAATAAAAATATCCTTAATTTTTAAACAATCTGACTGTTAATTTAGGTATCAATTTTGGATCGTTAGAAATTACGTTGTTTTGGGCTTCTCCAAAAGACCTCAAATCAATGGAGAAGTATTCTTTCTTATAAACTCATGGTCATTTTCTAAATTAGTCCACGTGGGACTTTCTCCCAACAATTCTCAACAATCCTCCCCTCGAACAAAATAGACTACAGAGTCTATCCCGAAGCCTTCGAACAACCTCTCCTTAATCGAGGATCGACTCTTTCTCTAGAGCCCTCGAACAAAGTACACTCTTTGTTCGACACTTGAGTCACTTTTGACTGCACCTTCTCCCAACAATCCTCAACAATCCTCCCCTCGAACAAAGTACACCCCTTTTTCGACACTTGAGTCACTTTTGAGTGCACTTTCTCCTAACAATTTAATCCTCCCCTCGAACAAAGTACACCCTTTATTCAACACCCGAGTCACTTTTGACAACACCTTCGAGTCTCACAACTTCTTTCTTCGACATTTAAAGATTCTATTGGCATAACTAAGTTAAGGGCATGACCCTGATACCACGTTAGAAATCACATATCTCCACATTAGTATGATATTGTCCACTTTGAGCAAAAACTCTCATGGATTTGCTTCATGCTCTACAAGAATGTTTGACGTATATAACGAATGTCAGTGATGTATTGTGACTTGTGAATGTTTGGTATTTAAATTTTATGAAATTTTAATTATTAACGTAGCATATTTTACGTAGATAAGTAAGATTTTTTTTATTAAAAAAAAAAAAAACTCGAAAATTCAACCCAACTCAACGCAATCTAGAAGGGTTAGGTTATGAACTCGTTCAGGGTGCTCGAATCATCGACCTAACCAACCCGAAATTTTAAGTTAGTTTAAAAAATTTCTCGGATCCTACCTACATACGCTCCTAATCGATTTCTTGCCTAAATATTATTGACAAGCATTGTAAAAATATCCCTTAGCTTTAAGCAAATCTTGGGTTTTGCCTTCCATGTTTTGCTTTAGCTTGTCTAAACTTAGCCACTTTGCCACTCCCATTAGCTCAATATTTTAAACAAAACTTGTGATTCTTGTGAGACAAAGTAGGGCATGTGTTGAAGATTTTCTGGTTTGTTGTTTGGTACTCTCTTAATCTTATTTAATTCCTTTCACTTTTTTTCTTTGTTGGTCTTTTAGGAGAAATGTTGTTCAAAAAGTATCTTCCCAACCCTTCATTTTATTGTATTTTGCTTAATAATGTTCTTCATTCTGAATCGTTTTCATCTTCAATCGATGTGAGATTTCACAATTTATCGTTTTTGGAAGTCTAGTGTTCTCGCTAACACACCCACCCGATGTCTGACTTTGATATCATTTGTAACAATCCAAGTCCACCGCTAGCAAATATTGTCTGTTTTGGTCCGTTGCGTTTCGTCATTAGCCCCAGTTTTAAAACGTGTCTGTAAGGGAGAAGCTTTCACACCCTTATAAAAAAATGTTTCGTTCCCCTCTCCAACCAATCTGTGATCTCACACTATTCCTTTGTGTTTCTTCCTAAAACGCATGTGAGGGAGAATAAAACGTGTCGAGACGACCCGTGTTGGTCTATAGAAATAGTATTCACTTTTAAAAGTAAGAAATAAGTAACGTGACAGGAATGCTTGAATCATCCGATGCTGGATCCAAATTTTGAATCCTGAACATGGAGCGTTACAAATCTTGTAGTGCTAACATTGTTTAATAGGTCCTCATAGACAAGGAGAAAAAAAAAACTATTGATGATCGAGTGTCATGGTTGTCATGTTAACCTTACTAAGTGACTCGAGTATTAAACTCAATTTAGAAAGCTCCATACATATCCAAAATCTACAACTAATAGTGAATTAAAACATCCAAGGAATTGCTCTCATCTTTCACCGAACGGATCTTGCCAAATTCTGTCGAGTACTTATCTACAATGCATATTACATCAAGTTCAAATGTTAAAATTCATAAGTCACATCATTAAAATAGGATTGGGTAGGGTGTGAGATCCCACATCGTTTGGAGGAAGAACGAAGCATTTCTTATAAGGGTGGGAAACCTCTCCCCCTAACAGACGCGTTTTAAAATCAATGAGACTGATGGCTATACGTAATGAGCTAAAGCGGATAATATTTTCTAGCAGTGGACTTGGACTATTACAAATGGTATCAGAACCAGACATCGTGCAGTATGCTAGTGAGGACGTTGAGCCCAGGTTGACGGCGATATGTAACGGGCTAAAATAGACAATATTTGTTAGCGATGGGTTTGGAGTTTTACAAATGGTATCAAAGCTAGACACTAGACATTGTGTCACCAAGGACGCTAGGCCCCCAATAGGGGAGGAATGTGAGATCCCACTTTAGCTGGAGGAGAACAAAACATTTCTTATAAGGATGTGAAAACAAAATCGTGAGGCTGACATCAATACGTAACGGACTAAAACGGACAATATTAGCTAGCGGGAGCTTGGGCTGTTACATATTAGCTAACCGACTAAAACATAGGGTTAGGTTAGATTTTAACCCTATTTTTGGGCCGGTCGAGTTGACCCAACAAAAAAATTTCCAGCCCGACCTAAATTTTCTGTTCTAAACAAATTCAACACAACCTCATCTAAAAAAAATCAAATCAAACCCAACATTTACACTAAAACATATGAATTGGTTGTTTATTTTCAAACCTTTAAGAAGCCAAATGTGCGTGTATTAAAAATATTGCTTCTTTGCAAAGCGTTTGCGAAACGCATGTACGCACCATCATTAATCCTATTCTCTGAGCTTCAATATTATATGGACATTTCCCCTTACAAACTTTCACGTTTATATTTATTACATTCTCGAAACATTAAAAAATATCTGATAAATATTTAAACTTTTAATTTTGTATCGTATAATTACACAAAAACGTATGATAAATTCTTAATTTTTTAATTTTCTTTTTGTTTAATAGGTTACTGATGACATTTTCAAAAAATTTAGATATAAAATTGAAAATTTAAGATAGATTGGACTTAATTGATTTGTTTTTTTTTTAATTATATATAAAATTAAAATTTGAGAAATTTATTTTTAAAAAAATATATAAATATAAAACTAAATAGATACATCAAAATCATTAAACAACAAAACTCTATTATTTAACATTATATTCTTTAAACCAAAATATAAACTCATACCCTCTCTATTTTGGTCGGTGGAGTTTCAAATAACTTACTCCAACTTGTTTTTTTTTTTTTTAATCATAATTTTACTTTTTTAAGCTAATTATTTTTCATATGAATTATTTATTTCCACTTGATTATTTTGTGCTCATAAATCATTAAAAAAAAAAAAATTGGTCAAAGGTCAAAACGTTCATAATACATAGTTCGTTAAAAGTGGATTGAGTTGCAAAAATTTTTAGGACCAACTCGAAATTGGGTTGGTTGGGTCTAGAGCTGCAATCCAACCCAAATTTATTTTAGTTGGATCTAGAATTTCGATTACAAAGGTCAAATATTCTTAATTTTCATAATTATTTTAAAACTACTGTAGAGTTGGCTTGAATTATAACTCTATTTATAGTTTTTAAAATATTCAACCCAATCTCATCCGAAAAAAATAACATTTTATAGTTTGAATTGTATAGTTCAGATTGATCGGGTTCTCAGATCATACACATGTAATTCTTCAACGAAAATAAATTATTTTCATATTTTAAAATTAATTAATTATTTATTTTAATTTTAGTAATTTTATGTCAAATGTATTATACATAATTATATATAAAAAGAATATTCAGTTGGCATTAAATGGACGTAATTGAAATATTTTTATTCAACCAATCAACTTGAAATAAATAATCAATTATAGCTGAAATTGACAGCTAAGTTTTAATATAATCTCATTATTTTTTAATTAATGTCAAGTAAAAACAAAAATTCATTGACAAAAAATTATCACATAACAACAAAATATATTTTAATAAAACAAAATTACAAATTTAATTTCTATAATTCAAAGAAAATTTTATCAATTTAAGAGGTTCTCAAGGAGCTTTAATTTGGATAATTAAACTGAACTTATAAATAAAAAATTAAAAAGTAATTATATAATTAATAAGAGTCATCATAAATAAAATAAAATTTTTATTGCAATTTTTATATTCGGAGTAGAAAAATACTGAGTTCAGGTCCTCCATTACCATCTGGATTCATCATGTAGAAAGCTTCCGAGTCACGGCTACCTATAACTCGCTCAAACTTTGCTCTCATGTACAGTAACTCGCCCTCTGACCCACTACCTTTACGACCGTCGTCCACCATTGGAATCACTCCGGCGCCGACTGACACGCTCTGTACAGTGTTCAGCACGTACCACTCAAACTCTCCACACGTGCGTGACATAGCCTGTCCACACTTCCTCCCGTTGCAGTACATCGTCCACCTTGGCTCCTCCAACAACTTTCTAATGGGACGATTACCTATTAATGTTAAAATATCATCACTAATACAATCAAGAGGTCAAATCTAATAATTATATTTATTTATTAAAAAATTATTTATGTATTTTAATTAAAAAAATGTGAATTAATCTTAACAAAGAGTACGAGTGTTTTCGATTGTTAAACGTATTAAAATTTCAAAATTATGGTAATACCGTCGAAGGTGGTCGGAGCATCGGACTCGAGGGCGATGCGAACGAGACCGGAGGACATTTCCTTGATGAGGGACGAGGTTGACGTGGCGAATTCGAGCAACAAAACTGGCTGGGACCGGGGGTCGAGTTGGATGGCGAAGGTGACATGGCCACGGCGGCGGCCGAAGAGAGTTCCAGTGACTCTTCGGCCGAGGGAGGGGCTGACGGAGAGGTGGGTGGGGATGGAAAGCCATTTGCAGGTGGGAATTGAGAGTAGCTTGAGAAGAGAGTGAAGGAGGGAGGAGAATTTCCCGGTGGTGGAAGCCGCCAGGTGTTGGCGGTGACAGCGGTGGCTAGAGTTCTTCTGGAGGAGGAATTTGCCGGAAAAGTTGTCAGCATCGGAGGAGGATCTGAGGTGGTGGGCGGAGATGGAAGATGGGATGATTTTGGTAGTGGTTTGAATGGCGGCGCTGCAGCTTTTGGTTCTTTGCAGGCCTGTCATGGCGATGAGAGAGAAAGTAGAGAGAGAGAGAGAGATGAAAAATGATAGCTTTAGTGGAGAATAAATGGAGAAAGAATCTTCATTTTAGAGAGAGAGAGAGAGAGAGAGAGAGAGAGAGAGAGAGGAAAATGGGGAGAATGGTGGAGGAAAAGAGGCAGACAAGGGTTGATGATAGTGTTGGGAGTTGTCCAATATAAAGGGAGAGACTACAGAGGTTTTGGAGTCATCATCATCATTTTTTGTGGACTTTTTTTTAGTTCACATTTTTTAATTGCTCATGTTCTTCGTCTTTGTATTCTTAAATATTTACTTGGGTCGGGTTAGGATAAAAAATTTAAACTCAACTTATTCGGGTCGACTCAACATAATTGTTTAAATCCTATTTCTTTAATCGAAATAACCTTAAATAATGAACTCGACCCAATCCAATCCAACTATAAAAAATTTTTGGATCCGTTGATTGTTACTTCCTAAAATATCTATTTATTTAGTAAAAATGTATATTTTAAAATAAATAATAAACTGGAGATGGTTCTGGTACCCATCTAAGAGAATTCATGAATCAATTCCATCCATAATCCACCCCAAATCGGATTGAAATGTCGAGTTTTTTAATATTGTTGCAAAAGGTGGATAATAATTTTTAAATATTATTTATCACAGAGTAACTAAGAAATTGGAATATTAAAAAAATATATATAAAGAGGGGTGAAAGATGTAATATCACCTAAGTTTTAGGAGTTTTATTGGTTAAAATTTTGTGTGCTAGAAGATTTTATCAATCATATGCATCTTTTATACTTTCATAGGGTCGATTTTGAAATATCAAAAATTCTCATCTATTTTTTCCTGATGATTTTAATTCTCATCTAAATTCTCATCCACCTCTTTGAGAAGAATAGTATAAATAAAATTAAACGTCTAATAACGTAATTAAAAAATTATTTAAAAAATAGAAACTTAGAAAACTTCAAATTATTAAATAATAACAGTAATAATAATTTGATGGGAAAGCATGAATTATTTAGCAATGAAAATACAAAATTATGAATAAGGTTGGCTAGTTATTAATTGATAATATAAATTTAAAAAAGGCAGCAAATATTTAATATAATTCATACCTCATGAACAACGACCGTTGGATCAAAAATTAGATGACTTAAACAACTATAATTATTGATATGGATTGAAATTGACCGTTGGATCAAAAGTGAGATGAAGGTGAAAAGGATAGGGGCGGGAATTAAATGAGTGATTGAGATAGAAATATATATAATTTTATATAAAATAATGATTATCAAAACGAAAATGTGTACGCACGCTTGTTCGATGTGATCTCACCACAATCCCTAATTTTATAAAATTCATAAATAATTAAATAAATCCAATTTCCTTTTAAAATATTGGGATTTTATCACAAACCATAATAATGTTTTTTGTGTGTTCCAACCTCTAAAAATATATATTAAACAAATCAAACCATATTCTTATTCCCGTTTTATTGTCTTAATACTCTAACAGACCGTTTCGTTGGAGGTAGAGATGTTCGTGGATTAGTTTGAGTCAGGTGGGAATATTTTTAGATTCAAATCAATTGTTCGGGTTATAAATTTTTTTACTAAAACAATTTTTTTTACTCTATACCATTTGTAACAATTCAAGCCCATCGTAAACAAATGGTATCTGCTTTAGTCCGTTACATATCGTCGTCAGCCTCACGATTTTAAAACGCGTCTTTCCCTCCTGGGTTTTCCATTCCAGACGTCCCCTCAAGAATTTTGGGTTTTCCCTCCTGAGTTTGGTGTATATGAAAGCGAAATACATGGAGCTATGTGTACCAAATGATACACATTCTAAAGAAAAGAAGAGTGAAAATGAAAAAGACAACGTCTTAGGTTTAATTATAGTCATGTTACTATAAGTCATGATTGCATGTGATTGCATATCTTTGTCCCGAATATTCAACGTTTTTTTAATTTTTCTTTTTAGATAAAGGTAAAGGACAAACAAAAACAAGTGACCGAGGTTGTCTGGTAAAACCGATGGATCAAAGTCCCGCTTGATAGCAAAAAGGTATACAATCAAACACAAGCTCTAATTTTTAAACCTTATGGGCTTGTACTTAAACTAACAATTGGGGCCGTTTGTTTGATATCATTCTTTGTCTATTATACAACTACATGTTTCCAAATGTTTTTTTCTCTTGTTGCTTGATTGTAAAATGACTTGAATTACCGTTCAAATTCTTAATATGATCGAGTTGAAACATTTTTTATATAAATTAAGAAGTGTTCGACTCATGAATTTGGCTCGTGTTTGGCTCATGAGCTATGTTCTGAAGTCTTTTTTATATAAATTAAGAAGTGTTCGACTCATGAATTTGGCTCGTGTTTGGCTCATGAGCTATGTTCTGAAGTCGAGTCATACGTAATTTCACGTGTTTAGCTCATGAGCTATGTACATGAACCCAGTATACTTTAGCGTGTTTGGTTCGTGAGTTAGGTTTACGAATCCGTTGAAGTAACTAACTTATGATATATAAACTAAGATGAAAATTTATAAACCCACTAATTAAAAGGAGGTGGAGTGTATGCCTATGAAATGATTTTCCACACCGATTTCATTGGAAAGCAAGAAATTTTGGGCTTTCCATTTTGGCATTTCTCTCGAGGTTTTTAAAACGTATCTGTTAGGGAGAGGCTTCCATACCTTGTAAATGGTGTTTCGTTCTCATCTCAATCGATGTGGGATCTCACAATCCACCTCTTTTCGGGGTCTCACAATCCACCCCCTCTTTGTGGCCCAGCATCTTTACTGGCACTCGTTTCGTTCTCCAATCAATGTGGAACCCCCCAATCCACTCCCTTCGGGACTCAACATCCTTATTGGCACTCGTTTTCTTCTCCAATCGATGTAGGACCCCAAAATCCACCTCCTTCAAGACCCAGCATCCTTATTGACACTCTGCCTTGTGTCTACCCCGTTCGTGGATCAACCTTCTTGCTGGCACTCATTTTCTAAGTTTTTGTAGCTCTCTAAAGCTCAAACCATACAATTCCAGGCCTCTCATCTGCCTATAAAACTCAAGTTATACGAGAAAGAAGATGGAAACTAAGAGTTACTAACCAAATAACGGCCTTTTTGAGTCATATTCTAAGACAACAACTCTCCTTTCTGTCTTAGTGCAGACACCTATTCACAAACTAGGCTACTTGGCTATATCCTAGCCTTCTTCATGTTATTTTGGTACCGCCGGGACGAACGGAGAGTTATGCGCCTCTATTAATATCTCATTTTTAATCTCTTCTATCAATGGCATATGTAACCGCCCTTTGCGCAATTGAAAAAAATAGTCGACATGTCCTATTACCAATTGACTTGTAATTCTATTCGAACTCGAATTCCCTATTGGACCTCAATAATTCTCTGTTGGAGCGTGGGTTGGACCATGAGTCGAGTCATCTGAGCCATAAGTCCCTTGGTCATCACAGCTATATGTGCTTGCTTGAACTTTGTATGCACTCGTGGCTCTCTAGTAATCATGGGTGACGAGTGAGCTGTGTTCAGACTTAGGGCACATTTCCAGTGTTGTAATTGTCTGTTTTTGATGTTCTCAATGCTCTTGATCTCTACTCACCTTCATCTCGTGGTGGCTTTTTCTTCTTTTTTCTCTGGTGTTCTCAATAATGTTTGTCGATTCGTTTTATAAAATATAAATTTGAAATGTAGCTAATTCAATGAAAGTGGACAACTTTTATCGATTTTCTTTTATGTTAATTTTTCGAAAAGTTTATAATTACTAGACTTAAAACATCTTTTAGGGAGAAGTTTTTATATCATTCCCCTCTACAATTAACGTGAGATCCACAATCCACCTCACTTGGTTTTCTTCTTCAACCAATGTGAGATCTTACCATCCATCCCCTTCGAGGCCCAGCATCCTGGCTGGCACACCGCCCAAAATTTGGCTTTAATACCATTTGTCATTTTGTAACGATCCAAGTCCACCACCAGTAGATATTGTCCTTTTTAGGTTTTCCTTCTGGGCTTCTCCCTCGAGGTCTTAAAATACGTCTACTAGGGAGATGTTTCCACGCCCTTACAAACACATCTCCTTTTTCGTGTTACTAGTATTTCTTAAATTTCATATCTTTATGATTACTCTCATATGTAATATCGGTTCATTCGTGTACCTCTACTAATTCTATATCGAATACAAACCTAATTTATGTAAATTCTCATCAGAAATAGATTATTTGTGAAAACAAGCGATACAAAAAATAAAATTAAATACTCAAACATATATTTTTTTTAGTTCATCAATCGAAAGATGAAAAGTCAGGTTTGAATACCGTAGAACGTTTCCAAGATGGCGATAGAAACCCCAACTTTGAGAAGCTTTAGTCCAAGGTGTGGCTATAATGAATTTTGTTTGGCATTGGCCAGAAATTTGGTATGAAAATTCCTGAGAGCTACTTTTCCCTGCATTATTATTTCAATTAAATTTATTTATTTTCTTTTATATAAAATTTAGAACCAGCAACTCGAATAGAGTTCACAACCTAACCTAATCTAATCCTATGTTTTTCAATTGGGTTGCTGAAATTTAATGGGTTGTAACCCTATTTTCGAGTTGGTCAAGTTGACCCAACCAAAAAAAGATTCATATAAATCGATAGAAATTTTTAGCTGAGTAATTAGGGTCGGTCGGTTATCGAGTCATATGAACATTCTTAATGCCAAGATTCAGGCTTGGATTCTAAATCAAGTACCTTAGGGCTTCGACATTCTCCCTGCAACATGGTTAGGTTACCTCCTTATCTTAAAGTGGAAATTTTCGGAGAGGTTACCCAACATAAATTATTCAAGCAAAGCACGTTTAAGTTTGGAATTTTGGTGATTTTGGTATATGTAGAAACATTTGTTCTTAAATGTTATTTGCGAATAATCAAATATTATGTACAGAAAAAATGTATTTAGAAAAATCTTTTATTTTCCCCCAAAAGAACACTCCCCCACATAATATGATGCAACCATCACTCCAATGAACCGTGGTGTTGGGTTCGGGCTCGGGTTCGAGAAATGGTATAGTAATAAGCTCGGTCCAATTGCTTCTGAAACCGTGCAAGATTCAACTTCACATTCTGGCCATCAAGATAGATCTTCTTTGTATATTCCCACCCTTTTCTTGTAATGCTATCTGGGTTGACAAGAACAGGATCATCTTTCTCGTACTTGCTATACAACGAACTCTCCTTCGGCCGAATTTCATACCCGACGTACTTCAAACCGAGCTTCTTCGCAGGCTCGCCATAGTACGTCTCGGCTGCCCAAACAGTCCCCAATGGAATGATTTGAATGAACACTGAATTAGGCCTCATGAACAGAAAATGTGTCATGGCAGCTCCATGGACTCCTACCATTACATCACATTCATTGAGCTCTCTATAAAGCTTAGCCAGCTCTGTTGTTCTATCAGGCCTTATAACTTTCACCTTGAACCCAATTTTCTCAGCCATTTTCACCATTAACTTCTCATTTGTTATAGCCCTTGATCCCTTCCTTGACAGAACCACCAACTTTGGTTGCTCTTTGGCTTCGTTCTTCTCGTGTCGAACCACCTCTCGGGTTCGAGGTTGGTACGCCGTGTCTAATAGGTTTCGAAACTCGACAATGCTCGTGTTCCCTTCCATCAATGAAGGCTCCACAGTCAACTCATCATGGATTCTCAAACCAGCAATCACTTGAGGAAAGCAATGAGTTTTATTGTTCTTTCTAAAGTCAATTGGTGGATAGTTTGAGAGTTGGGAAAGGATATCACCATATTTTGTTAGCCACCAATTATGATACTCAAGGATCACAAAAACAACCTCTTTATTCAAATGTTGTGAAGTTATATAGAGCGGCAAAATCCCGTCGTTGAATTCGTGATAAACGTTGCCCGTGTAGCCTCCGGTCGAGAAGAACACGGCAGGAACATCGTGTCGAACGTTACACCGATGGTGTCGATCGATGTCGTTGCTCTTTCGCTTAACAATGAGCTGCAATTCATCAATTGTGTTCATGGTGTTGTTCTCCCATTTCCTTGTGTAAGGCTTGATTCTTTCGAGTTGAATCACTGTATTGTCGTTGTCGTTGTCGTTGTCGATCCGGGAATTGGACGACGTGTAGAGGAAGATTGATGAGGAAGAAGACTCTGTTCTTATATCGCCTTTCATAATACAGATATCAGACCGAATGCTATTCCTGTCACAACAAATGGTTCCTGAAAAAGGAAAAAAAAACATTAATTTCTGCTAACAAAAGGATTTTGGTTCCTTTTTTCATCAAAAACGGATCAGATTCTTGTCAGCAGAAACAGAGTAACATAGATTTTTCAAAAACAGAGGAAAAGAAAGCATAGAAAAACAGAGAGAAAGGCATACCATTAGGGATTGAAGAACAGAGAGGAGCAGAAACCTCCATAACAGCGGCAGAAACATCACCATTTTCAACCTTAAAAGAATCTAAAAACAAAAAAACAAACAAAACCCATGAAAAACAGAGCACCCAAAACGCAATTTTCAACCTCAAAAGAATGTTTAAACAAAAAAACAAACAAAACCCATTAAAAACAGAGCACCAAAAACGCAATTTTCAACCTCAAAAGAACGTTGAAACAAAAAAACAAACAAAACCCATTAAAAACAGAGCAGAAAAAAAGAAACCCAAAACAAAAAACTGAGAAATGCGAAGAAAAAACTTACAGAAATGAGGAGCAAAAACGAAGCAGCAAGAAAGAAAACAGAGGAAAAGAAGGAACAAAAACTTGGGTTTGGTTTTCTTGTAAGCAGAAACAGAGTAATAAAACTCATCACAGCCCATAGCTTCTTCGTCATCATCTTGTTCTTCATGATCATCATGATGAACAAACTGGGCAGGTGTTCTTATGTTCATCCCCTTCTTCCATGGCTGATAGCGTATATAGTGATGAACCATATTCCCAAGCTTCCTTTTGTTCTTTCTTTTATCTTTAAGAGAAGAGAGAGAAAATTTGCAGAAGAACAAAGGGGAGAGACTCTGTTTTTATAGGAAGGAGAGAGAAAGATAGAGAGAGAAGAAGAAGAAGAAGGCGTTTTGTGGCCAGAGGTTTGTAGTAGCCGCAGGGAATGAGTAAGGGAGAAAAAAGGCAAGAATGGAGGCGTCAAACTTGGGGATGGTGTCTTTAGGATATCCATATTAAAGATTTATTTATATTTTTTATAAAACACTCAAAAATATAAAAATATCCCTCTAAATTATTAACTAGTCTATTCACGTACAAATCTTGTGAATCAACTCGAAATTTTATGTTGATCGTGTTGGTGACCCGAGCAACTCGAATTGAATTTTCAACCCAATCGAATGTCAAATATTTTTTATTTTCATAATAATCTAATCTCGGGTTGGATAGTTCGGATTAGTTGGATTCTCGAGTCATATGAACATCTTTATTAATAACGGAATCTATTTAACTTAATTATTATTTGAAATAAAAATAATTTATTTAGATAGAGTAGAAAAATTATGGGAAGAGAATTGTAATTAATACATAATTAATTAAGCTCACATATCTAAATTTTAAATTTAAAAACATGCGTGTTGAGAAAAGTGGTTTAAATAAAGGCGTGTAAATTCTTCATTACCTTTCCTCTAATGAATTGTGTTAAGCACTCAACGCGCCTAATAGTCGTAGTTGACCATAATTATCATGCATTTTTTTTCTTTAATTTAAAAAATAATAATAAATTTTTAATTTTTAAAATTTCAATTTTATGTCTCGTAAATATATTATTTAACGTTAAATTTCGCATTGAATTTTAGTTTTAAAAGATTTTAAATATGCAGCAAAGAATAAATGAGGAAGATGAATTGAACATGTCCAAACCAGTTGATTTGGTTTTATTATTTTGAAAAAAAATTAGTTTGGTCGATTTAAAACCTTAAAAAATTGCAAACCTCGGTTCAATCCTCAAACCTAAAGCAATCGAACTTTCTCCTCATACAATGAGTGACAGAGAATCTCTCTCACCCTTTCTCCTCTCTCATGCTCGGCTCCCTCTCGAATTCTTGTCTTTCAAGCTGGAATATTCATTCTATCTACCGTCGATTGCTCGCCTCTTCGGCATTCCTTCTACTCTCTCTTCACGTGCTAGTGTCACACTATTTTGTATCGATAGCTGCCACCCTCCCCCGACAATTTAGACAGAAACAAAAATGATATCTATACCAAAAAAAAAAAAACTAAGCACAGTAAAAATTGCGGAAATTCATGCAATTTACTCAAATTAAACCAAACTGAGGTGTTCGTATCCTAATATTAGAAACAAACTTTTTTAGAAAAAAAAAATTTTAAAACTCAATAATTTTACCTAAAAATTAGAAAGAAAAAAAAATTGAGAGATGGCAACAAGCTGGCGTATGGGGGAAGCTTTCTCCACGCGCCGATGAGGACAAAGCGCGTGTCACCTCAAACTTTCCTGAGAGTATTTATTTATTTATTTGAAAATAGTTAAAGAAAAACACACTTCTTTTCTTATATTTATAATTAATAGAATAACATTTTTTAAAACCTATAATTTAATCATTTAAATTTTTTTATTTTTATTTATTTTATATAATGAAAAGTATTTTTCAACAGAATCTTATTGAATAAAAAAATAAAATTTAAAATCTATTTAACAAAAAAAAAAAAAACATTGAGAGTGTAGATGTCAGTTTAACCGCCCTATCGAGACCTATCTCGAACATATTAGAGAATCTCACTCGAATCTTAAATAATAAAAGAGTAATGAGAGATTTTTCTCTGTTAACTAAATGGAGCTGAAGATTAAAAAATTATAATTATTCCATTTATTTGAGTAAGAAGTTTTAAACGATAATTATAGGAATTAAATTATTACCCGTTGAATCTTTACTTCAAAGAAAGTATAAGAACCAAATATTTTTCAACCTCTTTTTAATCTTTTAGATTATTTTTAATACGATAAATATTGGGAGAGGAATTTAAACTTTTAACTTTGAAGAAAGGTATAAATACTTTAACCATTAAACTATACCGAATTTTTTAGGACGAAAATTTTTCAAACACTTTGGTTTTAATTTATTATTACTTTAATGTTTATTTAATACTCAATTTATTATTACTTTAATGTTTATTTAATATTCAACAAAAATGTCAAAACTACAAGGCTAGATAAATAAAGTTTTTTAAAAATGAAATTATAAAAGTAAATAAATAAATAGCTACAAATATAAATTAGTTTTCACTCTTAATTTTTTTAAATAAATTATTTAATTAAATAGATGAGTATTGAATATTATTATTTTTAGACTGAAATAAATATTTTAAAAGTTGGAAAAATTTAAATCTAACAATAAATATAGTAAGCAATAAAGTAGAGTGTATTGGCGACCCGCCGGCGAGGGCAGAGCGCGTGAAAATTGGGCAATATTAAATATTGTCAGTGTAACTGTAAAATTTTGTTTTGAGGGTAATGAGAACATTGACTGTCAGTTCCTTTCCAAAGATTAAGATTTGACTGTCGGTTTAATCTTTGTCGATAAGTACAACTGGATTAGGTTTTAATTTATTACCAATTTACTGTTTATTTATTTATTAAAATACTCAACCAAAAATGTCAACCTTTTACTTTAAAACAAAAAAAAAAAATTAATTTAAAAATAGTTTTACACTTCAAAAGTTTTAATTAAAAAAAAAAAAAAAAAACACCTTAATTTTTTAATTTTCAAAAAGTTTCAAAACTACCTTTTTAATTTTCGGTTTAAAAAATATACTTAACTTTCAAAATTTTCATTAATAATTTTTATTTTAAAAAAAACATTTACTATTAATATATGGACGGAATTATTAGTTACGAGTCTAAAAAATACTCATCAACTTTCAAATATAATATTAAAAATTTTGGAGATAATCTATGAGATGTAAATATACTATTTTCTGATCATATATTATAGTAAACAAAAAAAAAAGTGAAAAGGTATTAATAAAACTTTTTAAAGTTCATTGTGTTTTTGAAACACGGTTGAAAGTTCAAGTGTATTTTTAAAATTAAATACTAACCGTTTCCATAAACGTGATTGTTTTGATTTTTTAAAGTGTTACAAAATATTTTTAAATTAATTTAGTCTATAAAAAAATTATCTATTATGCTTCTAAATTTTAGGATTTTGTGATATTCTAATGTTTAAATTTTGTTGAACGTTTAATTATGATTAAAATAACGTACAATAAGATGAACGTTTTAAAGTTGAATGGTTCAAAGTATACCGAATATTTAAAATAAAAATCAAATAGCATGCATGATCAAATAAGGTACTCATTAATATGAATAAAGAAAATAATAAACTAATTATTTATGGTGAAATTAATTATTTGTAATATATAGTATAACAAAAAGATTTAAAATTTAGCATTTTAAGAAAATTATTTAGTGTTTGCAACCTCTTATCAGTCATAACGCTCGAGAAGGTGCTTTAATGAATCAAAACCGAGTTATCCCATATATTTAATCGTTAAGAAATATTTATAAAAATTGATAGTTACTGTCTATAACAATAAAATGTACATTTTTTCGGTGACTCAATCATAGGGCGACATCTTGAAAATTTTCAGAGGAAACATGTAAGTGACGTCAAAACGTGTTCAAATGACTCGTCTTAATCTGTGAGAATAATTTTCACAATTTTAAAATAGTTGGTTACGTGGTCACATCATAGAATAATGACTTTTATTTAAAAATAGATGGAAAGTTATATATAAATAAATAAATAAATAATTTATTAGATATTTTATTTTTTGTTTAATTGAAGGACTTTTATTTATTAAACGAAATCTAAAGGATCATCTAATTTTAATTTATACCAATAAAAATTTGAAGGATATAAATTGCTATCTTAGTTTTAGGAAAGTGTTAACCACGCGCAACCAAAGCGCGTGATGAGATTAAATGAGACGCTTGTTGCGGCGGGGACAAAAGACCAATAAATTCCATTTCCAATGGATTTTTTTTTTAGGAAAATTCGAATGAATTTTAAAATAATATTCTGAGTCAAATCCAAATAGGAATTTTCACACAATTAAGTTTTGAATCCCTTTGCTTTGATTCTCATGGCCGCCAATGCCTAATTAATTCTTTCAATAATTTCCCTTTTTTTAATTATTTTTTAATTCCTTAGAAACTAAGAATTAAATATACTATTAAAATTTTGTAATTACCAATTGATTACTTATTTCTAGTTTTTTAGAAATATAATTTTTTTGAAAATATTATAAAAATCTTGAATTTTCAAAATAATAATAATAATAATAATTTTTTTTTCAAAAATCTTGAATTTTCGACGGATACTCGAACTATAAGAATATTACAATGAATTCCAATTTATTTATATTTGTTTTTGTTCTCTCTGACAACTTAATATAAATAAATAAATCAACGGTATGAAGTGAGAGCAATGTAAAGTACAATAACATTTCAAAAACGCTACGAATATTAGGTTTGCATTAACCATAATCACGTGCGCGTTCTTCTTGAGAGATTTTCCTCTCAAGTGTCAAGACTACGCTCTTAGAGAATTGAAAGGCTTAATTTTGCAACCATCGAGCCTCTCCAATTGTGAAGGTGGAGCATTGAGATGCTACGAACATTAGGTCTTCATCAACCGTAATCACGTGCACGTCCTTCTTTGGAGATTTTCCTCTCAAGTGTCAAGACATTGACTAAAGTATCTCGAACGGGGTGATATGCATAAACCTTTTGTTGTCTCTAAAGAATCTGAGAATGGTAAAGCCTAATCTCCTCCATCTGTCGGGACAAATAAACAGTGATACAAATATATTCACATTTCATCTATCAATTAGGCTTTTCGACCCGATCGTAGGCCTTGACTCACCCCTCCATAAACTAAGTCTGGTTGGATCATTTCGATACAATCAAATAGAAAGTCTACACATGTCGTATTCTAAGAGTAATTCTTTTAAAAAATGTAAAGTATAAATAATAAAAGGAATAAAAGGGTTGTTTTCAATAAATAAATAAATATAAGGGTTGTTTTCGAATAATATATAAATAAAGGGTTATTAAAGACATCTTAATTGACTCGATTAAATATTAATACCGGAAATATGTGTGTAGATCATAACTAAATTGATGGTTACTGAAATTAATTATTTCTTTATTTTTAAAAAAATATTATTTAGAGCCAAATGATAAGATCAATTTTTCATTATTAGTCAATATATATATATATATATAGCTTGTGACGGCTGAAACAGACCGCGGGCAGCATCCACCTGGCAAGTCAGTGACCGTAACGTAAGCAAGCAGAATTTGACCGTTACATTTCAGAAAACAAAAATAAAAATAAAAATATCACCCCAACTTTTCCTTATTGTAACAATTTTATTTTTTACTTTTATTTTATAGTTTTTCTTATACACACATATACATATACATATACACACACATATACATATACATATATATATATATATATATATATATATATATATATATATATATATATAAAATTCATAAAAATACCTTTAAAATTTCAAAATTGTTTAAAAAAATACACCTTAAAATAGGGCTAGTATTAAAAATACTCGAAACTCTTCTATTAGATATGCGAACTATTATATGGCTCATCAAGTAAAATTGAGGGACCTTAGTGGATACTTACTCGTACAACTGGGTTCATGTGTGTCTCAGCTCCATAGTCCCCCAAATCCAACATCATCAATCATGCAAGTCTAGATACCATATGCGATGGAAGAGTAACACGAATAATCACATTATGTTTAAGTCTCGATTATCAACACTATGGAGAAACTTGCATCATATGATTAGCTGACAGTCATATTTAATTCTCGATATTTGAATTTGATTTTTAATTAGTCCCTAAAAATTTAAAATAAATTTTAAATTGGGCAAGCCCAAGCCCAAATAAATTCACAAGTGGAAAATAAATTTTAAATTGGGCCAAGCCCAAGCCCAAATAAATTCACAAGTAGACCCACAGGCAGTTCTGTAATGGTTGGGTTCAATCATTATATCAGACCGTCCGGTATGGTCGGACCGTTTTCGGTTTACCCGAACCGACCTCCGATTGACGTAGGGTTCCGTTCTTGCGCGCTTCTTTGCGATTCAATTTCCTCCGGTCCACACGCTGCTGTTCTCTTTTCTCTCTCCCGCCACCACGCCGTCGTCGGTCTTTTTCTCACACCGCCGCCAGTTCCAGAGTCTCCAGCGACTCTCCGATGACCTTTCCGGTTAGGTATACCCGTCTCTTACTTTTCATATTTCTTCGGATTGGTTTCAAGCTTCCAGGGTCTGTTTTGTTAGTAATGATGCGATGAAATCTATGCTTTTCTGGGTAATGATTCGACACTTGCTTATTTCTTCTTCTTCTTTTTTTGGACATGTTTATGAAATTCTATACTGTTTATGTTTTTTTCCCTCCTTAAACCATCCCATTTTTCTTATCTTCTCCATCCATTTCTCCTGCTGCTACTCATAATTTTTCTTAATTTTCTGTTTCTGTTTAACTCCTGAGTGTTCATATTATATTTAGATGTGTTTACACGAAAATTTATAGAAAGGTAATGAGTTGAAGGTTGAGTAGTATGTTTTCATGGAGTTAGGACTATCATAAATGCACTAAAGTGTTTCAAGGAGAAATTTTCATGAAATTCTAACTCAATTTTCTATGGAAGCTTGCACTTCTCATTTGTATGTATAAGTAGATTTGATTTGTTTATTTGGTTGTGTGTTGTTGTTATAGGTGACGATGTTGAATATGTTAAAACCAAGCAAATTTTTTGACAACGTTGTTGATAGATTAGCATGGTGCATAACAAACAAAAAGATCTCCACCAAAATTGTCTCCAAGAAGCACTACTTTGTTTCTTCTTCCTTTCTTAGTTTGTCAACTTCACTACCTTCCAAGCCTTCAGATTTTCGATTGCTCGATAACGTAACAACATGCATTGCTTTTCTACAATCATGTGCTGAATCTAAGAATCTCAACAAAGGAAAACAGCTTCATTCTGTAATGATCACCTATGGTTTTTCCCATTCACCTTCATCTATCACTAGCTTAATCAACATGTACTCCAAATGTGGTCGAATGGAGGAGGCTGTTTTGGTTTTCCATGATCCGTGTTATGAGCCTAATGTGTTTGCATATAATGCTATAATTTCTGGGTTTGTTGCTAATGGTCTTGCTTCAATTGGGTTTCAATTTTATAAGCAAATGAGGTTAGAGGGTGTGATGCCTGATAAGTACACTTTTCCATGTGTAGTTAGATCTTGTTGTGAGGTCATGGAGGTGAAGAAGATTCATGGATGTTTGTTTAAAATGGGGTTGGAGCTGGATTTGTTTGTTGGTAGTGCTTTGGTTAATACTTACTTGAAGCTTGGCTCAATGGAAGATGCACAAGAAGTGTTTGAAGAATTGCCAATAAGAGATGTTGTGCTTTGGAATGCAATGATCAATGGGTACGCCCAGATTGGTTGCCTTGATGAGGCATTAGAAATTTTCAGAAGAATGCATATAGAAGGTGTTTCACCTAGTAGGTTTACAATTACTGGAATTTTGTCTATTTTTGCTTTGAAGGGACACCTAGACAATGGGAGAACAGTCCATGGGATTGTGATGAAAATGGGTTATGATTCAGGCGTTGCAGTTTCAAATGCTCTAATCGATATGTATGGGAAATGCAAACATATCGGAGACGCTTTAATGGTTTTTGAGACGATGAATGAAAAGGATATTTTCTCATGGAATTCAATTATATCGGTTCATGAACAATGTGGTGACCATGATGGTGCCTTGAGGCTTTTTGATAAGATGTTAGGTTCTGGGTTTCTACCTGATTTGGTAACCGTCACAACCATACTTCCAGCTTGCTCTCATTTGGCTGCCCTCATGCATGGTAGAGAAATTCATGGATATATGATTGTTAATGGATTGGGAAGGGATGGAGACAATGGAGTTATAGATGATTTACTTGTGAATAATGCTGTTATGGATATGTACGCAAAATGTGGAAGTATGAAAAATGCTCAAAAGGTTTTTAATTCAATGACCAATAAGGATGTGGCATCATGGAATATTATGATTATGGGGTATGGTATGCATGGATATGGCATGGATGCATTGGATATGATTTCTCACATGTGCGAGGCCAAAATTAAGCCCGATGAAGTTACTTTTGTTGGAGTTTTATCGGCGTGCAATCATGCAGGTTTTGTGTGTCAAGGGCGTTGGTTCTTAGCTCAAATGGAGCATGATTTCGGTGTTATCCCAACCATTGAGCATTACACTTGTGTGATTGATATGCTGGGACGAGCTGGGCATTTAGAGGATGCTTATGATTTAGCCCAAACGATGCCTATTCAAGCCAACCCCGTTGTGTGGAGGGCTTTATTGGGAGCTTGTCGACTCCATGGGAATGCGGAGTTGGCCGAGATTGCTGCACAAAAAGTAATGCAATTGGATCCAGAGCATTGTGGGAGTTATGTGTTGATGTCTAATGTTTATGGAGTTGTAGGTCGATATGAAGAGGTGTTGGAGGTTAGAAACACGATGAAGGAACAACATGTCAGGAAGACGCCTGGATGTAGTTGGATCGAACTCAAGGATGGAGTGCACGTTTTTCTCACCGGAGACAGGACACATTTAGAATTGAATGCATTGACAAGTCAACTTTGTGATATTGGATTCATTTTAGATGAAGTCTTGAATTTATATTGAGATATGGTAGCATGTGCAATTGCATTAAGCCAATAGCCATTTCTTTTATTCAAAGGTTGATGAGCGGCACAACATGTACATTGATGAGTTTACTATTATAGTGAAAATCATTGGTTAATGATTACAGCAGACAAGTATCATTGATTGCCCGCTTCCTGGATATTCATTAGGTTACTTCTAATGTCGTAAAGTCTTTCTTTCACCATCTTGGATACTTCTACATTTTCGTCCAAAATTTTATATGTTTTTTCATCTCTCCGTTGCCAAGTTTCTTAGTGGTATAGTGCCTTGCTTCAAGGATATGACAGCAAAGCTAACGTCAAAGGTGGTGCCTTCTTACAGCTCGTTGGATTCAGCTTCTCTCAACTATTGCCTTATTCATATTGGTACTTTCTCTCTCTTATCTATCACTTTCTTTCCCTTTTGGACCTGGGAGGAGATTTCATTTTGCATTATGATTTCTATGTGCTAGTGATTGAGATATGCAACGAACCCTAAATAGTGCAGACCTCAAAAAGCTTTAGGAGGCATCTTGTCGATCATTGAATGTAACAGCCCAAGCCCAAGCCCACCGCTAGTAGATATTGTCCTATTTGGGTTTTCCCTTTCGGGCTTCTCCTCAAGGTTTATAAAATGCGTCTGGTAGGGAGAGGTTTCCACACTCTTATAAAGAATGCTTCGTTCTCCTCCCCAACCGATGTGAGATCTCACAATCCACCCTCTTTTGAGGCCCAGCGTCCTCACTGGCACTCATTCCCTTCTCCAATCGATGTGGGACTATCCACCCCCCTTCGGGGCCCAGCGTGTTTGCTGGCACACCGCCTCGTGTCTACCCTCCTTCGGGACTCAACCTCCTCGCTGGCACATTGCCTGGCGTCGGCTCTGATACCATTTGTAACAGCCCAAACCCACCGCTAGTAGATATTGCCTTCTTTGGGTTTTTCCTTTTAGGCTTCCCCTCAAGGTTTTTAAAATGCATATGCTAGAGAGAGGTTTTCACACCTTTATAAAAAAAAATGCTTCGTTCTCCTCTCCAACTGATATGGAATCTCACATTGAATCTCTTTGACAGACGATCTATTGCGAGTTGACTTCCATCAATTCACTTTGCTTTGCTTCCCTGAGTACAATCGCTCCATTGCAAAATCCCTCTCTTGGTTCGTTTCTCTCATTGGTGATCAACGTGATAACACTTCCATAGCTCAACTAATTAGTATGAAAAACAAAATTTTCATTTCAACATTGACATTCGTAGTTAGCATAATAAATTCATACTCTAGTTCTTGTTATCACGATTTTGATATCCAAAACCTATTTCCTTCGTTCTATTAATGTTCTTGACAAACATATGCATTAGGTTTTTTGAATTACTATATTTCACTTGATTACTCTAACTGCGAGAGCTCTTGCTTCACATTAAATATTGGTCTTATAAACAAGTTTTGCATCACTTGAATATATATCGCAAGTAAGAATATATTTGCCGCTGAAGTTTTCTTTCCCCTGTTTGTAGATTCAGAATGGTTGATGAGATTTGGCGAGCCTATGAGCCTAACATAATGTGCTCTTGAGCAAGCATAAAAAATACCTCACTGCCGTGTCAAAGTCAAGGTAAGAAAGGGGAATTGATGAAGGCATTATCATAAGCTCATCTATGTGATTTGAGTCGTTTTGATCTTTATTTGGAAATACTTATAAACCAACATAGGTATTCCGAAAAGTGCTTGGAATAGTTGTTGAAGGCGTTATAATAAGCTCATCTATGTGGTTGGCCGAATAGTTGTTGGAGCTAATGACAAAAGTGCTCGGAAGGAATGAACAAGTTCAAACTATGAGTATTCACAGAACCAAATCAAGTAAATGAAGTAGGGTCAGATTGGATTAAGCCAGGCAAAGGGAGACATGCCATGTTAGAGATTTTACTATTGGATGACCTTAAGGTAATTAGATATGTATGCATTTGTTCCGGTATATGATTATGTGGTTGTAGTTAATATTTGTTAAAGCATTTATGGGACCTCATGCATGTATAAAATGTCACAATATTTATGAAATAAAGCTCGAGACAATTACTCATTAGTGGATGAGTTAATTGTACCACCATGATTATAGGTAGTTGAGTTACATTTTAGTTCCCGATCACAGGTTAAATGACTAGGATTTTAATTTTTTGGTCATAGAGAAGTCGGAAAGTATTTTGACTTTTAGTCACAGGTTAGATGATTAGTGTTTTCAAGTCTAGTTAGGGACATAGGCTCACTGAGTTGTTTTGAACAATTTTAGATTCATTGGTTTTACATTAGATTTTATCGCGTCTGTATAAGCATATCTGAGGGTTACTTATTGAGTATTTTCAATGCTCAACTTTTTTTTTTTTTTGTTCGGGTAAGGGCTTACAAGGTGTGATGAGATCATTTGCTCGGGGTGCTTAGGAGTTTGTAACCTCATGTATAGTCTTGCTTTTGCATTATCTTTGAGTATTTGTGGGTTTAATTCGAGTTTTCTTTATGGAACTATTTTAGAGTTGGTATTTATAAGATGTTTTAGCGGTGTAATTATTAGCCATTTAATTTGGCCTATTATATTGAAAATAATATTGTTTATCAACTTTTAAATTTTCTTTTCTCGAGTTTTAAAATGATGACGATCCATGTTGGTCTAGGTTTAGGAAAGTAGGAAAGTTGGATTGTTAGACACTCAATTTGCTATCTCGATCTCATCTCTGGCTCCTCTAGCTTTGGTCTTTGACCACACTATCGATAGTCCCATTGACAATCACCACTGCCCACTGTGTTCTCTTTCACATATGCATAGTTCAATCTACACCCTCTTTGGATCTCATTTTTCTCCCTCTCACCCTCGGTTCTGATTGATCCCTCACTCTCATTTTGCTTCACTGTCTCTACTTTCCCAGACATTGTCCAACGTTCGATTGCCACTGTTGAGGCACGCCCGACATAGAAGTTTATACAGCGAATGAAATTTGGGGTTTGGGTCTTTAGGTTTGAACAACAACCTCATCAAGTTAAACCGTGAATTGGAATATTTTCGAATGCTATCCGGTAGGATCAAAGACACTTGTGGTGGGTTTTGTAGATAATGACGGACTAAATCACTCTTCAAATTCAATTTAATTGCAATCAAATTCACTTTATGTTCTTTTAGATTGAAAGACAGTTTTGAAATTTGTAATTGGTGTGAATAACCTTTTCTAAATCAAATTTTCAAACAACATTTAATATCTCTATCAACTCTTCAAAAGGACATTAATAATGAAAACCGACCCACTTTTGTTTGAAGTCCAAATAACGTACATAATAATTCATACCTACAAATCTTGTATTAATCCTATATTTCAAACCCTCTCCAAACTCTTGAAACTCATATATTTAGGGGCACTTTCGGCGGCCGCCGTGGGTGAGCAAGGGCAGGCGTCGTAGTTGCCGAAAGTGCCCGGCGGCACGCAGCTGCAACGACCACAGCATGTGCCGCATGCCCTGTTGCATAGATTTGGCCTTCAAGATAATTTGCACCTCGACCCACAAGCTCCTCCACAATCTGATAACTCGATTATACTCGCACCCTCACGAACATAAATTAAATAAAGAGATAAACATTTATGTGATTCGAATGCATGGATAGCAATCAATCTAAATATATGTTTAATTTCTAGTCGCGTTAGGAGGCTCCGCTGCGACAGCGTCAATGGAGTTCACCATATAAGCTACGAGAAGGCTCCGCTGCGACAGCGTCAATGGAGTTCACCATATAAGCTACGAGAAGGCTCCGCTGCGACAGCGTCAATGGAGTTCACCATATAAGCTACGAGAAGGGTCATGAAAACACATTTGAACAGAGCTTTAGAAAGAACAAAAATGGCCATAGAAGACGAAGGAGAGAATTCTTATGGAAACTCAAAGTTCTTGGAAAGGCGTAATGAATGAGAAACAAAAGGTATAATGAATAGAAGATATGCATTTCTTATTCAAATAAAGAAATAAAGTATTTTAAGGATTTGTTGGAGATTTGATTTGATAAGTGAGGATGTCCAGTTTGGTATTCCGTCCTTGTCTCTTATTTCGATTTCATAAATTCTCTATTTATTTTTGTTTGGAAGATTTGATTTTCATTTTTCAATATAATTTTTATTAAAAGAATATAAGATATTATAATAAAGGCGCGTAATTTATTTATTGATCAATAAATTCTAATAAATCATAATAATATATATATATTTTTTTTATGAGAGGGATTAAATTATTATATATTATAATTCAACTGCCAAATTATTTTATAAAATTAAAGTTAATGAGGTAAATTATTAATTTGAGTATTTTTTAAGCTAAGAATATTCATCCAAATTCCCACCTAACGGAAGCTTAAATTTAATTGGAATAAGAGGAGGGCTAAAACGGATTAAGGAGAAAGGCAAACCCTATTTCCAAACAGACCCTATTCGTCCACGAAACGTCGATGACTTTTCTAAATCTCAAATTCCTCTCTCTATAAATACCCTCCTCTCCCTCACTCACCGTTCGCTTTTCCTCTTCCATCGTCAGAATCAAATTCGACGGCCGGCGGATTAACGAATCAATATCCTAAATTCTGCCGGAGTTAGGATTCGTTCTCTCTTCTGCTCCCTGAATTCTGATTTCTGAAGCTTTTTCTTTGGGATAGAGGAGGAGGAGGAGGAGGAGGAGGAGGAGGTTGTGAACAATGTCCGATGCGTTCTGCTCCGACTGCAAGCGTCAGACGGAGGTTGTCTTCGATCACTCTGCCGGAGACACCGTGTGCTCTGAGTGCGGCCTTGTGCTCGAGTCGCACTCCATCGATGAGACGTCCGAGTGGAGGACTTTTGCCAATGAGTCTGGGGATAACGACCCGGTTCGTGTTGGTGGACCGTCCAACCCGCTTTTGGCTGATGGTGGCCTTTCCACGGTGATTGCCAAGCCTAATGGTACGGCAGGGGAGTTCTTGTCCTCGTCATTAGGTCGGTGGCAGAATCGGGGGTCTAATCCAGATCGAGGGTTGATTCTTGCATTCAAGACAATTGCTACTATGTCTGATAGGTAAGGGGGTTGGTTGTTTTAATCGTCCTTTTGATGCTGAGGAAACATGGAATTA